ATTTTGTCTCTAAACTGTTTCTTGATACAATCAGAATGTGTCTTATTTCAGGAGCAAAGTTATTTAATTTTTAATCTGTTGATATTTGTGAAGATGATTCTTGTGATGGAGCCAGTTCCAATCTGTTTCGTGCCCCCATTAGTTCTAGTTATGCTGCTGTTTGGAAAATATTATTTCTCAAAGACTCCTAGTCTTTATTCTTTTGGAGTATCTGTGTGTTTATCAAACATTTGCCAGGAATTTTTTTTTTTAATGTCCAAACAATGTACAATTGCCTTTGTTCCAGATCATTTTTATGGCGTGCTTTCCCAAAAACCAGGCCATGCCCAGAAAATCACTGTATGGGTAAATGGTTTCAAGATTGGCAAAGGCAGAGACAGGAAATCCAGTTGGATGGGAAACACTCCCAGGAAGAGGCGACCTGAAGGAAGCTGTTCCCAGTGGGTTTTTGTATGTAGAAAAAGGAAGTGTGTCAAAAGAGCATTTGCCCAACTGCTTAAAAATCAGCCTCAAAAGTGAAGGAAAACCTCAGAGCGCAAGCAAAACAAAATCAGTTGTTTTAACTCCTACTGCTGCTTGTCCTTGGCACGGCCTGGAGGAAGCTGGTGGTTGCGATTAATCTTACGCCAGGGAAGTTTTATCCGATTGGGAAGGCACAGCTGTTTGGAAGCCTTGCAGCCCAAGGGAAAAGGAAACCAAGGCCTACAATTTGCTTTTCTTGGGGGGGGGGGGGTGGTAGGCAGGGAATCTGATCACAGATTAAAAGAGCCAACCCCCTTCCTGTCCTTAATGCAAGATATAATCCATGCTGGAAGGTTTCTTTGTCTTTGCTGCTGAACTGTGCTCCCAGGGGTCACTGGAACTGGAGTTACCAGGCAAAGAACCAGGTTTCAACTTGACAAGGAACAGTGAAGTGGCGGCAGAGAAGGAAAGAGAGAGAAAAACCTGTGGTTTTTCTTTCATTCTTTCCTCTGAGCGATCTGGTTTCTCTAGAGAAAACTTAATTATTGTATGTGGGGCTTTCCACTGGGTCAAGAGGATAGACTTATTGTATTATTTACCAAATTGCCATAAGGCTTTGATTCTAAGATGCCATCGATTGTAAGACACACATTAATTTCAGTACTATCAACAGAAAAGATATAGATAGATACACATATACAACTGCAATTCTAGAGTGCCTCCTGTTTTTAGAGATGTTTATATCAAATAAGTATGGTATGTTCCAACTTTTTTTTACTTGTCTCCTAATTTTATGTTTTTCTGAATTTAATTATGTATTTATGTACAACATTTTTGGCCCACCTTTCTCAACTATATGGCGACTCAAGGCGATTTACAGATTGGCATGATTCGATGCCATGCATTCATAAAAGTGCGATTAAAAACAGTCAACATAACAGTACAAAAACATATATAAAAACCATTAAAACGTGTAGTCACCGATGTCATGTCACCAATGAATGTTGACCCTGGCTTCATTAGGGCTGAGCAATGGGCGTTCTGTGGACTTTAATTTTTGTAAACTACCCCTCCCAAAAAAAAAAAAAACCCTACAGGATGAGACTTTAACAAATACTACTACTACTACTACTAATAATAATAATAATAATAATAATAAGTAATCCTAATGTTGCAATCCCAGGTGACAGTAGGATGATGAGAAGCAGCTGGAAAAGCAGACATGATATGAGGATTTAAAGATCGAACTGCAAAGACTCTGGCACAAGGAGGTCCCAGTGGTGATCGGCACACTGGGTGCAGTGCCTAAAGACCTTGGCCTGCACTTAAACACAATCGGCGCTGACAAAATTGCCATCTGTCAGCTGCAAAAGGCTACCCTACTGGGATCTGCATATTTGCCGATACATCACACAGTCCTAGACACTTGGGAAGTGTTCGATGTGTGATCCAATACAACAGCCAGCATAGTGACCTTGTTTGCTGTGTACGAATCTTCTTATGTTTCAAATAATAATAATATTTAATAATAATAATAATAATAATAATAATAATAAATACAACTTTATTTTTAGACCCCCCTGTCTCGCCGAAGGGACTCAAGGCAGTTTACACACACAAAAAAGGAAAACATTTAATGCTTCAAACGAGTACAAACACATCAAAAATAATACAGGATAATGCAGAGTAACAACAGTAAAATTACAAGCAAAGAATTGAGCATCAAAATGAAAATAAAGCAGAAACAATCAAATAAGATATAATAAACTAAAACATGAGTAAACATTACTACATATACCCTAAAAGTAATTAAGATACCATTACATTATAAAAAGATGTATTGTAGCAGCCATATAATGTGTCCTAGTCCTCCTCCTCTCCGTATGCTAAAGTGCATAGGTGCGTTTTCAGAAGTTTCTTAAAGAAGAGGAGGGTGGGGGCCATTTTTATTTTTTTAGGGAGGGAGTTTCAGAGACAGGGCGGGATGACTATCATTTCCCCTATCACCTTCTATTGGAGAAAAAAGGGTGGCACTACTGCTACTGTTACTACATAGAAGCCAATTGCAGATTTTAATATGGCAATTTTAATCTGGCGAACTACTTCTAATGCATATTTTTAATTATTTTAATATATATGGATGTATTTATTATGTGTTTTATATCATGCTTGGCATTGAATTGTGGACTGTTTGGAAGCCGTTCTGGGTCCCTCCTTGAATGTAGAGAAGGACAGGGTATAAATGACTGAAATAAATAAATAAATAGGCTTCTATTGTCCCTTTTATATCTGAAAGCAAGACTACTACCATCCTCCCCACTTCCATTTATTTCATTTTTTTTTCAATGCTGCACTTATTAGCTGACTTTCATAAATGGGATTTACAATTCAGTTTATGTGAATTTTAACAAGTTCAGGAAGCATGAACTAATTTTAAACAAATGTTAAACCAGCTTAACAAAACATTTCTCTCTCATCACAGTTCTTGATATCAAGGAAGTGAAACTCTTCAAATGATGCCCCCAGGGCATCACAGCCTTCCTCCTCAAACAAGCAAAGCTCCTTTCCTCCTCTCCATCCATAATTATATTCAATTGGTCATGGTTTTTGCTTTTTGGTGGTTGCGCTAGATCATAGGCACTTGGGAGTTTTTTTTTTTTGAAGGGGGGGAGTTGTTTGTGTCAGGAGTGACTTGAGAATCTGCAAGTCACTTCTGGTGTGAGAATTGGATGTTGCCCGGGTATGCCCGGATGTTTTACCATCCTATGGGAGGCTTTTCTCATGTCCCTGCATGGGAAGCTGGAGCTGACAGACAGGTGCTCACCTTGTTCCCCAATTTGAACCACCGACCTTTTGGTCAGCAGTCCTGCCAGCACAAGAGTTTAACCCACCGCACCACCAGGGGCTCCTGGTACCTGGGAGTGACTAGCTGTGATGGAGAGGAGAATTCAGCTAGTATTTTCTGTTCATACTATCAGAGCGAGCAATGAGTGTGTTTAAAGGAACTGTTTTCTTATCTATGCTAATGTGATAGGACTCATGCTTGTTAACAGAACTATAGCTCATTTTTTAAAAAATATGACAGATCATGGGCCTAGATACAAAGAGTCTCAGTGTAGTATGAAGCCAGAGCACTTTCGGATCCTTAAAACTATGGGTCCTGACCCCTTTTGGGATCCCATAAGAGAAAATGGGAGTCATGGAAATTTTTTGAACCTTTTGGCTGTTTTAGACACTTATATGAATGTTAGCAACAACAGACAGTATTAACCATGGATTCTAGAAAATGCTTCCATGATGCCTCACAAAAAAGAAAATTAACTTATTTAGAAAACCTTGCAAATGTTGCTTTCTTATCAGTAATATTTTGGGTTTTTAATAACTATATCTGGAGTCATATAAACATTTCTGGGCAAAAATAGGTCACTGGTAGAAAAAGTTTGAGAAACCTTGTTTTAGACAACTCCTGCAAAGCTCCTGAACCAACAGTATTAGTGACTTTTCCTAGCTCTGGTAAGGATGGGTTTCATGTTTCTGAGATTTTTTTATTTATTTTTTTTGCATTTTTACCAGAATCAAGAAACAGAGCCTCCGAGCAGATGCTCTGCACAAGGTAGTTTCAAATACTAAAATTGAGGTTAACCCTTTTTTCTCTTAACATTCTGTCTTTATTGTAATGAATGAGGACATGAGTTTCTTAGAAGCTAATGGGCCATCCCAAGTTAGTTGGACAATTCTGAAACCTCTTCATAACAATCTGAAGCAATAGTCCAAAAAAGTAACTGTTGGGGAAACATCTAGTATTATGCCCTAAATTCTAAATGGCAAGTGGTCTTTGTAAGGATGCAGGCAGGCAAAAATCTTTCTCAATCAGCCATCCAAGATCCTATGATCTTGTGCTTCCTGATCTCATGTCTCTTAAGTAAGTCTGGACCACAACTCCTGCCATCTGCAGGCATCTTGGCTGGTGAACAGGGAAGATGAGATTGTGTTTGGATAATGAGTGTGGAATGCTACCTGGTATATGAATAAAAGGACTTGCAACTTACACATTGGAGGGAAGGATATTAGAGGCAAAGATTAAGAACTTTGGCCACATAATGAGAAGACAGGAAAGCTTAGAGAAATCAATGATGCTGGGGAAAATGGAAGGAAAAAGGAAGAGGAGTCGACCAAGGGCAAGATGGATGGATGGTATCCTTGAAGTGACTGGCTTGAGTCTGAAGGAGCTGGGGGTAGTGATGGCCGACAGGGAGCTCTGGTGTGGGCTGGTCCGTGAGATCACGAAGAGTTGGAAGCGACTGAACGAATGAACAACAAACAAACTTACACGCTCAGCCCTCCACATTTGCTGGGTTAGGGGTATAGAATCCTATCAAGGTGGAAAAACTGCAAAAATAAAAAATCCTTTGAAGTTAGAGTCAAATTTGTGAATGTGGAGAGCCAACTGTACATGCAAAGCTTCTCCTTTTCTCAAAATCTGTTAAAATTAGTCCCACTGAATCATACCTTTTTGTTTTCATTTGCTTTCTCCTCAGATATTTCTCTTGACGTCTTGGAGCCTGGCCGCTGAGCAAAGGGGGGCAGCCCCTCCAGAGAGATGGGGGATGCTGGGGAGAAAGGCCTGGACAACGACGCGGAAGGGGTCTGGAGCCCTGACATAGAACAGAGCTTCCAGGAGGCGTTGGCCATCTACCCACCTTGTGGGAGGCGAAAAATTATTCTTTCTGATGAGGGCAAGATGTACGGTAGGTGGGACTCTTGCTGGTTGCATATTTCTTTGAGAATTTGTCCTGAAAACTGTTGGATAGGATGAGAGACAGCCTTCCTAAAGAGTTAAAGATGGTCCTCTCTCTCCTCGCCTTCAAGAAACAGCTGAAGATGTACCTTTGCTCACTAGCTCACAAGGAGGAGGAGGAGGAGGAGGAGGAGTTGGTAATACTACCATTATGCTTCTGATTAATAGCTACCATCCGTATCTGTGCCCTGTTTGCCCCACCAGCTTAATAGATACCTTATCCATCTATTTGCTCCCAAGAACTGGGAAACTGATTCCTCTGTTCGATGATTTGTCTTACGTCTGATATAACAGGTTGCATTTTTCTTATTTAATTTTAGTTGTTAAATCATAATTTGATTTTATATGTTGGGTTGCCAAATCTCATTACTATGGGTGTATTGTTATTGTATTTGGGCATTGAATGTTTGCCTTTTATGTTTGGAATATGCCCTGAGTCCCTCTGAGGAGATAGGACAGAATATAAATAAAGATGATGATGATTATTATTATTATTGATCATAAAACACATGAGAGTGGGATGAATTGTAAACATTTTGAAAGGACTTGAAGATACATGTACGTGCACAAACATCTATACATGCATTACATTTTGGATAATTGAGGAGAAAACACAACTAATTGAAATATGTGATATTACTTATTTTTTTATTTATTTTTTATTGATTTATCACTTTATTACATACTATTACATTTTGTACATCAACCTCTTTAACATGTTATTTTATTATTTTACTCTGACATTTCTCCCCCTTTTTCTCATTTTTCCCCCCTTTTTTCACCACAGTGCTCCCCTCCACCCATTTCAAGCCACCCTTCTTACATTTCATCTGTCCAAAATTTCATTTCTTCTTGTGACGGTAATTTTCCTTCCTTATTTTTTAATCCATTTACCACAAATCTTCCCCATACAGCATCAAAATCGCTTTGTTTCCATATACCTTTTTTAACCTTTAATATACATGTCAATTTATCGTTTATTGCTATTTTCCATGCTTCTTTATACCACTCCTCTATTTGTATATTCCTTTCTTTTTTCCAATTCCTTGCTATAAGCAGTCTTGCTATAGTTAGTAAGTTTGTTATCGCTTCTTTATCCTCCTTTTTTTAAATTGCTTATTGTTATATAATGATAGTAAAGCTATACTAGGACTTTTATCTATTTTTATATTCATTATAGTTTCTATTTCTCTAAATACTTTCTCCCAAAATTATTTACATATTTACATTGCCACCACATGTGTATATATGTTCCTGGTTCTTGACACCCTCTCCAACAATTTATTGAGTTATTTTTATTCATATGCTATTCTTACCGGTGTCAAGTACCACTTCCATATTAACTTGTAATAATTTTCTTTAACTCGTATCGATAAATTTTTTAAATGTCTTTGTCCCCATAATTGTTGCCACTCTATTTCGCTTATTTTTATCCCTAAATCTTCTTCCCAAATCTCTTTAAGGGTGCACTTTTTTGTTTTTTCATCTTTCATTTCAATTAATATCTTATAAATTTTGCTAATTATACCTCTCAAGTTTTCGTGTTCTTCTACAGTCCTTCCCTTCTGTATTATTTGTTCGAATTGACTGAGTTGGCTTTCACTTCTATTATTTTTTTTCCAATTTATTACCCATTGTTCTAATTGTATACAATGAAACCATGACAATTTTATTTCTTTAAACTCTTCCAACATCCTTTCCCTCTTCATTTCCACCTTCATCCAATCCCCTATCCTATCTAAATTTATTTCCCTTACCTTTTTATCCATTACTTTTTTTAAATTTTTTGGGAACTTCTTTTCCATCACTATTGGGGTTATAATTGATCCCTCCTTTATTAACCTCCCCTTATATTTATTCCATACTTTAAGTATATTGCTCAGCATTGGGTTTCTAATTTCCCTCATTTCTTTTCTAGTAAACTGTTTAAAAAATATATTCCAAGTTTCATCTTCCACTTATATTACTTATTAAAGTCAAAGGTGACAAGAAAAAAAAGAAGATGGCATTACAAATGGATTGACTCAACAAAGTAATTCATGGTACTAAGTTTGCAAGACTTTAGTAGTGCTGCTAATGAGAAAGTCTCTTGGAAAGTTCTCATTTGAAGATGAACCACAGGTAGAAGCCAGTTTGATGGCACATAACCACAACAGTACCACAAGGCTCTCTTTAAGGAAGTTGAAAGAGAGTAATTTTTGAAGACATGTGCACATAGGACAGTGGTATGGCAATCATTAGTGAAGTATGTAACAGCGGATGCTTGCTATAACAGAACAGCTAAAAGAAAGGATCCTGTTCTTACCCACCATTGGAGAGCAGCTATCTACAAGCCACTAGTAGAAAAGACAGTTGAATTTCCATATCCACAGAATCACTATCCAGTGCTTGATAATATTCTAAAAAACAAACCTTGAATTTGCCATTATAGATAAGTGACAACATTTTCCTATGCTACTGTGTACATAATGAGACTTTAACACCCCTAAATTTTGGTATCTGTGGGAGGTCCTGAAACCAAACCCCAGAGGGTTGCCGAAGACCCATTGTACTGTTTTTGTTTTGTTTTTTGGCCAGGAAGATTTTGCTTTAACATCCTACATTTCAGCCAATAGTTATTCCTAACCCAGCGTCAGTCTACTCAAGGTGATGGTCCCTAGACAAGTATCAGTTCCCATACCATTGTCTGCCATTCTTTGATAAGTTTCCAGGAAAGTTGTAGTCAGCAGACAAATATGGTGTACATCCCTGGCAAAAAGGGGAAAAGACAATATAATTGCTGGTTCCTGTATCAAATAGCCTGAGAAGCACTGTGCTAATCCACTCCATGGCATATACACACAATATGAGTCTTTATAGTAAAACTGGGGACTGTGTAAAAATCCAGGTGTTGATTACATTTTTGTTTTCTCAGTATTGGCACCGTTGGCTAGGACAGATGGGAATTGTAGTCCAACAGCATCTGGGGATACATATTTCCCACAGAGGCAGAATAGGATAAAATGCACCCTTAGCAATAGGGAGAAAAGAACACATCATGTCAACTGTACACAGTAAAAAGGAGTCATATTCTGCTTTTGAAATATTTGTAGGTCCTCAATCAATATGATTTGGAATTTGTAGGATTTGTGACTTATGTGTGGACTTAGAAATTTACCACCTCATAATATTTACATTCATTCCAACGTGGAAGATTATTTATTTATTTATTTATTTACTTCATTTCTACCCTGCTTTTCTTGACCCCAAAGATGACTCAAGGCGGCTTACAAATTTGGCAAAAATTCAATGCCACACAAGACATCTCATCAAAATATAAATAATCTAAATATATAAATGTATAAGCCATTAAAATACATATCAATCAATCAAACAAACAGATTAAAACCATATAAAATACCAAGTCATGATCTCATGTCCAAATCGGTTTCCAAATCCATAGTTCATTATTCAAGCTGTTGAAGTCTCATCCCGCCTGCGTTTGGTGAATAGGAAACTATGGAATGAGACTGTAAAAAGCTAGGTCTTAAGGGTTTTTTTTCCTAAAGTTTTTTTTTAGTTTGTTGACTACAAGTGGCACTTTGATGGATGGATTGTATTTTTTATTTCCTGCCTCTTGTCCTTCAGGCCGCAATGAACTTATTGCTCGCTACATTAAACTGAGGACAGGGAAAACACGGACAAGAAAACAGGTGAGCTTAAAGAGCTTGGATTTTAAGAGTCTTAGGCTCTTTAAAAAACAGCTTTTGAGGGAATCCCTTATATCTGTCCTATTTGTCTCTCACCAACTTCTGCCACAGGTTTCCAGCCACATCCAGGTGTTGGCACGGCGGAAAACCCGGGAGATTCAAGTCAAGCTCAAGGTGAGGTCCTTTACTGCTATCCCCAACTTGCAGATGCAGAGACTTGCCATCCGTCCTACTGTAACAGAAAGCTTTGAAGGTTGCGTGAGAATCTTCAAATAACTGAGGGGTAGAAAAGAGTGAAATACAAATTTTGACCAAATTCCCCCAATGCTTGGTCAGCATTTTAAATTAGGTGGTGAAATTTCACATTATAATCACATTTTGCTATTACTCTGAACATATCCATATTTGCCCTGGTGGGAAATGACCAAAAGCACTTTGAGGGTGCATGTAACTAAATGCATCCCCATGCATGTGCCTGAAACATTTGCTTCACTGTGAAAAAATGAATTTTTGGTTTTTTTATATATGAATAATGTGCAGTAGTTAGTAGAAAAATTAAAGACAGTGACTAAAATCAAGAATCCTAGTTTTTTTGAGGGAATTGACTTAATAGGTGTTTTTTGTGGGTTTGGGGTGGAGAAAAACTGTATTACAGTCCAAGACTGGGTAGGTGGGGTGGGATCTTTGACTTTCCAGGTGTTTTGAACCATAGCTGCTATAATCCCATTGACGGTACTGGGTGGTGAATTCCAAAATGTCTGGAGTGTCAAAAGTATGGTTTTAGAAGGCAGTGTTGCAAAAGGTTATGAAACTCCTGGAGTTTCAAAAGTACCCAAAAGTACCCAAGATAACAAGGAGTTATCTTGAGGGCAGCTAAAAAAGTCATTGGGGACCAAGTATCTTTGGATCAGCTCAATGTCTGGATGGAGACCACTGGGAAACCTCCATAGGATACTTTGAGTTCCATGAAAGAAAGAAACTGAATGAACAAAGAACACAGATCACTGTGAGTATTCCTAGCTGTATGGCCATGTTCCAGAAGCATTCTGTCCTGACGTTTCACCCACATTTATGGCAGGCATCCTCAGAGGTTGTGAGGTCTGTTGGAAACTAGGAAAATAGGATTTTATATATCTGTGGAATATCCAGGGTGGGAGAAAGAACTCTTGTCTGTTTGAGGCAAGTGTGAATGATGCAATTCATCACCTTGATTAGCATTGAATAGGCTTGCCGGTTCAAAGCTTGGCTAACTCCTGCCTGGTGGAATCCTTTGTCGGGAGGTGATTAGCTGACCCTGATTATTTCTTGTCTGGAATTCCCCTGTTTTTGAATGCTGTTCTTTATTTACTGTCCTGATTTTAGAGTTTTTAATACTGGTTGCCAGATTTTGTTCATTTTCATGGTTTACTCCTTTCTATTGAAATTGTCCCCATGCTTGTGGATTTCAGTGGCTTCTCTGTGTAGCCTGACATGGTAATGGTTAGAGTGGTCCAGCCTTTCTGTGTTCTCAAATAAAATGCTGTGTCCAGGTTGGTTCATCAGGTGCTTTGCTCTGGCTGACTTCTCTGGTTGAATTAGTCTGCAGTGCCTTTCATGTTTCTTGATTCGTGTTTAAGCAGTGCTTCTGCATTTGGCTGTCCCTATGTAGACTTGTCCACAGCTGCATGTTATATAGTAGACTCCTGCAGAGGTGAGAAGATCCCTCTTGTCCTTTGCTGAATGTAGCATTTGTTGGATTAAATCCTACAAGCCAGTCAAAGGTGACCTAAGGCACCCTGGAGTTCTTTGGGACCTATAATAAACCTTCTCAAAGCAATAGCTGAGAAGGATTAACAAATTTCATAAATTGTATCTTGCCCATTTTAGATATCTCCCAAGCGGTGTCACTGGGCACATCATGGTCAGGCAACTACTAGAGCCCACCGGAGACAATTATTCCGTTTCCTGGATCCCCATTGGCCTAGCACCTCATCTGGACAGGCTCTTCCGCTAAGGGTGTTGTAACAAACTAAGGAGGAAATGATTGGCCACCATTTTTGATGATTCAGCCATTGCACTAAAAAGGCTAACAGTGGTTTCAGGAGAACCTCTGGGCAACAAAAGCAAAGTTTGTCTTTTCCTTTTTCTCCCTCAGGACCAGGTAGCAAAAGACAAAGCCCTTCAAACCATGGCAGCCATGTCTTCTGCTCAGCTTGTGTCTGCTACCGTCCTTCAGGAAAAACTGGGCTTGTCAGACCCTCACTACCCACACAGTGCTACCGTACGTATATATGGGGAAGGGGATACGAAGGGGAATTTCTTTGTGGCTGTCTTTTAGGGCATTTTTATACAATACATTTCAGCCTGGAATTTATACGATTTTATGGTTCTCATCCTGCCACCAGATGTGTTGGACTACAACTTCACATAATTCCCTGCCAGCATGGCTATGTTGGCTGGAGATTCTGGAAGGTGAATTCAGTTCTGGGTTGTAGGAAGCCTATGTCAGTTCAAGTTTTTGAGCTTTCTGCAACATTTTCAGTCCGTTGAGAGGCTAAGAATTTTTCATTCATAGAGTTCTAGTTCTGTGGAGAGACAGAACAATTACTAGAACAGCTGAATAGTCCAGTTAAAAGAAATCTTTGCTCAATTAAATCTCATTTGGTTAGTCATGCAGGTATTCATCACCTGAATTTGCAGGAGGATAAAACCTGCCTTTGATGCAAGAAGCAGGCTTTGTTTTTAAATGCTGCACGTATCATAGAATCGTAGAGTTGGAAGAGACCTCATGGGCCATCCAGTCCAACCCCCTGCCAAGAAGCAGGAATAATAACAGGCTGAAGTTTATGTTATGTTATTTATTTACTTCATTTCTACCCTGCCTTTCTCGACCTGAGAGGGAATTCAAGGCAGCTTACAAATTTGGCAAAAATTCAATGCCGCACACGTAAACAATAAAACACAATCTCAAATATAAACAATCTAAGAATATGAACAATTAAAACTCATAACAACCTATCAAGCAGATTAAAAATGACATATAAAATGCCAAGTCATGATCTCATGCCCAAATACTTTTCCAAAATCCATAGTCCATTATTCAAGCTGTTTAAAGTCTCATTCCGTAGTTTCCTATTCACCAAACACCTATGTAAAAAGCCAGGTCTTAAATCTCTTTCTAAAAACCAGGAGGGATGAGGCCTGTCTGATGTCACAGGGGAGGGAGTTCCACAGCCAAGGGGCCACCACTGAGAAGGCCCTGTTTCTCATCCCAACCAATTGTGATTGCAAAGAAGTTGGGACAGATAATATGGCCTCCCCAACTGATCTTAAAGCTCTTGTTGGCTCATAGATGGAGATACATTTGGACAGGTAAGTTGGACCAGAACCGTATAGGGCTTTTAGAAGAAAAGAGAATTTTAGAAGGGAAGTTCCTTTCGGGGAATGGTCAATGTTTCTCTTAATATAGTACATTCTCTCTGAAGCTTTTTTAAGTGCTTGTATTTCTTTAGGGTGTCCAATTTTCAGCTCTTAGGAGTCTTTTTTTACGAATACAACTCCCAAGCATCCCCCAGACAGTGGCCATGCTAGCTGGCTGGTTCTCTAAGTTAGTGTAGACCTAACAGATTAAACTGATTGATTGCTGTAACCCCAATTGAAGTATGTAGGCAACCATGATAACATATTGTCTTTCTGGTTTTTCCAGCCTACAGAGTTTTTCCAGTTCTGGACAAGTGATGCAATCCAACCCCGGGCCACTCCAGAGTAAGTTCCTGCTGTAAACAGACTCTGCCTTTCCCTTCTCCTTCCCTTAGTTTTTCACTAGAGTTGATCACATCTTTAGTAAGACCACTGAATTGAATAATAGCTTTATGAGACCCCCTAAGTTGCCAGAAAACATTATTTTGTGATAATGTAGTAGACCTAATAAATGTGCACCCTAGCTCTGTTTACTCAAGGACCATATGTCTACTTTTGTCACACACGCACGCACACACACACACATATACACCTTGTAACCCACCCACCCCCCTTTGTTAAATAGCAATGTGTTAAATCCGTTCTGTTTTCCTTTTAGTATCAAGCCAGTTCTCCAGGCATCCTACCCTCTACCGCCAATCACAGCACCCCCTGCTGTCCCAGGTAAGCCACTGCATTCTTTTCTTATTGCAGTGCCACTGGGCACAGGTAACTATTCTAGTTGACTTCAGCATCTTCTGTCTTGGCTTGGCAGGCTACCACACATCCCCAGGTAGAATTCCCCACCTCCCCACAACTACCTCTTGGCAGGGAAGCCACATCGGTACAGAAACTCTTCGACTGGTGGAGTTCACTGCTTTTGTGGAGCAGCAAGGTGAACAAGACGTGGTAAGTACTGCCACAGCCTGTACTTAGATTATCATTGAAGTTAGGCACCTTTTAAAATTTTGGAAGTCTACAACTTTTGGATACATGTGTCTCTACAATTATGTTTCATTAATGTAAGTATGTTTTATTTATGTGTTTGTATTTCTTATTATGTTAACTTTAATTGAGTCGCTGATAGGCTGAGAAAGGCGGTATACAAATACAGTAAATAAATAAATAAATAAATATTTGGTAATAAGTTTATTTACGTTTATTTTTATTTTTTTATTGTTGTGTGATTTTTAGCATGACATTGAATGTTTGCCTGTTTTATATGTATGTTTTGGGGTTTTTTTCATGTCAGGAGTGACTTGGGAAATTGCAAGTTGCTTCTGGTGTGAGAGAATAGGCCATCTGCAAAGACATTGCCCAAGAGATGCCTGGATGTTTTTGATGTTTTACCCTCCTTCTGGGAGGTTTCTCTCATGTCCCCGCATGGGGAGCTGGAGCTGACAGAGGGAGCTCATCCACACTCTCCCCAGATTCAAACCTCTGACTTGTCAGTCTTCAATCCTGCCAACACAAGGATTTAACCCACAGCGCCACCGGAGGCTCCTATATGTATATGTATGTAAACTGCCCTGTCCCTACAGGGAGAGAGGGCAGTCTAAAAATAAAGTATTATTATAAGATGTGTGTATGAGAGTGAGATGGAGTATGTAACAACATAGCATATGTGAGATGCAATGTGATTAATATCAAGTATGTAGCCCATACTCAAGAGCTTTCCAAACTGTGTGTCACGACATATTAGTGTGTCGGCTGCAATGTATAGGTTAATGATCAATGACAAAAATCTTGGAAATGTATTCTATTATCTTACAAAAATCATATATTTTTTAAAATATCAAGGAAAGGATTTTGTGAGATATGTGTAAATTTCGTATTATGTGTGTCTGCATCTCTTATAAGGGTTTGGTTTAGGATGCATGCCTAAAAAGTGTGTCACCAATGTAAAATATTTGGAAAGCTCTGCCATACTCACACATTTCCTATCTCCTGTCCTCTCCATACACCTAAGGGAGTTTTTACATAAAACACCAGAGGAAGGTTGGGAGTCAGCATAGCATAAACCAGGGCTTCTCAAAGTGGTGGCCTATTGACCAAGTGCCAGTCCACGAGGTATTGGCTGCTGATATGAGAAGAATTTCTTGGAAATAAATAATTCTATGGAGCGGGTACAAATATGGTTCCATCCCTGGTACATTGGGAAAGAAATTCTGCTGGTCCTCCACATGGCATGGCTTAGGAAACAGTAGGATAAACAACTTGGTGCCTTCAAGATGTTTTTGAAATAACTTGGCTGGCATGTGTAATAATGGGATTTCTTGGCAATTTCTGCATAGATGGCTCCATTCCAGTTTGTCATGTACCCTATCTCTTGTCCCCGCAGTGTAAACAGCAACACCGTTTTGTGCACATCGACCCGACACCCACTACTGAAACTCCCCTGGAAGTGGTGGATGTGCGCCAGATCTATGACAAATTCCCTGAGCGGGGAGGTGGACTGCGAGACCTGTATGACCAGGGGCCTCCTCATGCCTTCTTCTTAGTCAAATTCTGGGTGAGAATCCATTTGCTCTTCCTGCATGTGATTCCCCCCACATTGCAGTTAGAAAAATACCACCCACTTCCCATTACCTTTGTAATCCTTAGAAGCATAATTTTTGTGTTTTACTTACATATTCACATATTCAGCATGCTGAGGTTAGCAGATTGAGTTTTGAAATCCAGGGCATATGAACCTGGAATGGATTCTGAAGGCAGTTTTGAAAGATCTCCCCAGAGGAATTGACAGCCTGCAATGACTTTCTTACCCATGCCTAGAGGGGAATGTTCTCTAGAAATTTGCTAGGTCCTCTGGGTGATTCTGAAAGTTACTATGGAGTTGTATTAGAGGGCATAACAAATTCCTAGAGAGTTTGCCCAGTCCATTATCATAATCCCTACCACCACACCAATAGTTGGTCAGTCAGTCACAGCCACTGAGTATGCTGAGCTGTCATTAGATAGTTGTGCAGGGCTTCTTCCCATTGTATGGGGAGGGAGTTATCTCCCTCTTGTTCTTGAACAATACTGGCTCTCAGAGAATGGGTTTACTATTAAAATACATAATACTAAAACACAGTATTTGGTAATTCATATCAAACCAGAATCTTTAAAAAACACTTTTGGGATTGCAACTCTCATCATCCCTCCAGTCACCACAGCCAATGGCAGATGGATACTGTGAGTGCAATATTCCTGCTTCTTGGCAGGGGGTTGGACTTAATGGCCCATGAGGTCTCTTCCAACTCTATGATACTATGATTCTATGATATCCCTCCCTTTTACTGCATTCTTCATAACATCAAACGCCTCAAGCCTGATATACCATATTTCTTCAATTGCAAGGCGCCACTGATTATAATTTCAATACCACCGTGCAAAATATATAAGATACACCTGCAATCTAAGATACACCCTATTTTAAAAGATGCTTAGATAGGGTAGGTGCATCTTAGAATTGAAGAAATACAGTAGCACCATCAGTGTTAAAATTCAGAATCAAAAAAAATAGGTGAAAAAGATTTTCCCAGAGGCAAGTACAGGTAAAGCACAAGCATGAAGTAAAATGATCAAGGCATTGCATCGAAGGATCAGAGTGCAGTTTTTATCTAGCTTGTCCAAAAGATATCTTTGGGGATTACAAATGGGCCATGGTGGTGATGGCGCTGATTGTTTTGGTTCACAATACACTGCTCCTCTACATGGTTCTCACAATAGTCTTCACTCAGACCTATGAATTGCTCAATATCTTCCATGAAATGTCTAAATCAGTGGTTCCCAACCTGTGGTCCATGTAACAGCAGTGGTCTGCAAGAACAAAAATATGATCCGCAGCCTCACCATTACTACACTGTTGCCTTGAAACCACACGGCAACAAGAGCGACTGGCCTTGCGAAACCTTCTTATAGTGCTGAGGCAATGGAGATGTCAGGAGAGAAAAGGCTGACTACCCACGAAAGATTACTACTACCACATGAACTCTAGATTATTAAATATGGTTTTCTGTGGGCAAGCATATGGTGACTACTGGATAGCATATGTTCTGTATCGGAAGCTAGAGCCGATGTGGTCTAGCCAATGCAATTTTCTGAATCAGCACCCCAAATAACCAAACCAAATCTAAAGTTAACCAAAAACTGATTTATAACACTTTTGGTACTAATGTTGGAGAGTGGTCCATGGTCAAGAGGTCCCTGGTCAAAAAAAGGTTGGGAACCACTGATATATATGGACCTATTGTGGCCAAATAATGTGAGATGTTTTGTAAAGCACCTGAAATATATTGCTTTTTATATCAGTCATATAAAATCCTCTTTTGATCTCTCTCTTTTCCTCCTGTGTCATAGGCTGACCTAAGCTTTCCCCTCCCTGAAGAAGAACCAGGGGGCACAGGAGGGGCCTTCTATGGGGTGAGCAGCCGATACGAGGGCCCACGGGCTCTGACGCTCAGTTGCACCTCCAAGGTCTGCTCCTTTGGCAAACAGGTGGTGGAAAAGCTGGAGGTGGGTGCGGGCGGAGTGGGGGAGGAGGGAAATGTGGGGCTGAGGGGCAGAGAAGAGGGTGGCTGTGTTGGGTTGTCAGTGATAGCAGTACGTAAGATGCACCAAATGAAAATGGACTTGCATAGGGATGTAGCAATACATTTCAAGATGCAAGTGTCCATCATGACCGCTTTGACCATAGTACATGCACCTTGAGAGTCCACAGTTGCAAGAAATACATAGCATACCAGTGCGAGCCCTTTTCATCTCCACTATGAGTACGTTTTCTATAAATATAATGAGTCTTACTTGCTTATTCAGGGCTCCAATAGATGACATACAGCTGCTCTGAGTCCCCTTCGGATGAGAAAGATGAGATATAGATGTAGTAAATAAATAAATAAACATATAACAATATACCTTGGCCAAGGAAGTTGGTCCCACCTATACACTTCTCTAAGAAACATAACTAAGAGTAGGGATAAAAGATGGCCTTCCAGAAATTTTTTAGATCTTAAAACTCCAACAATAAGACGTTAAGGCAACTGAGGTTTGAAATATCTAGACAGCCCATGGTCCTCCTCACTGCCTTTTCCATTTAAGATCAAATAGGAAATCCTGAGCAAGATGGCATATGTGGTATATTATAATCTTATCTCAAAATCCCTGCCTCATGTTCATCCTGCAGTTCCTGGCTCCACTATATCACTGTTTAGGATCCTGTCTTATATGAACTCAAATTCTGGGACTAATCAAAACCAGAGCTTGGTTGCTGAAACTCAGCCATGGAGTTTGTGAATAATCAAAATACCTTTCTTCTCTTCCTGCAAAGTCACCACAGCCCACAAGTTGCCCTGCTTGAGGTTTAGCTGAGGAAGCCTTTTCAGGCCAGAGTTCGTTCTATCCGTGGCTTGAGTAGGGAAAACAAATCTGATTTTAAGAAGTTTAGACTTTGTTGACACATACCGCAAAATTGTTTCCCAGACCTCCAGAGCATGTTTCTAGGGTGTGCAGAAGGCTACAGGGAGCAAGGGAGGAATAGATGGTTCTGGCAGATCTAGTGAGATCTAGCATAAGTGTATCGTTGCATCCTGATCCAGATGTTGCACTATGGTTCCCATCACCCATCATTTTACTAAGGCTGATGGGAGTTGCATTCCAGGAATATCTGGAGGGCAATAGATTGCTGACAATGCAGGAGACCTTTGGATAATGCTCTGAACTGCATGCAGTCAAGGATAACGAGATGGGAATATGTGGAAAATTGGCACAGAAAGGATGTCCTGGGTTTCAAAAAATAAAACTTGGTATAAATCCCCTCCCCCCCTTTGCATTCTGGAAATACCATATATACTCAAGAATAAGCTGGGGTTTTCAGCCCTTTTTTTACAGCTGAGAAAGCATCCTCTGGCTTATACTCAAGTCAAAATTATTTATTATTTTACTGTTATTATTATTACATTTATTATTTTATTCTATTTATCATTATTATTGTTAGTATTACATTATTTTACTATATTATTACCATTATTACATGTATTATTTTACTCTATTTTTGTTATTACATTTATTATTTTACTCTATTGTTATTACATTCATATTATTTTACTCTATTATTATTTTTATTGCATTTATTATTTTATTCTCTTTATTAATATTGGAAGGATACATAAGTACATTTACATTGTAGAAGGTTAGAATAATGTTTTAATCAGAGTTCGACATTTATCTTAAATTACAGTTTTATGTAAATATTCAAAAACATTTAATCTAATGTAATTTTATTGGTATCTATTTTCATTTTGCAATTTACCAGTAGCTGCTCCATTTCCCACCCTTGGCTTATACTCAAGGCAATGCATTTCCCCAGTTTTTTGTGGTAAAATTAGGTGTGTCGGCTTATATTCAGGTCAACTTATTCTTGAGTATATACGGTAATTCCAGATTGGTATGAATCATTCACTCCTACCTCAATATTCTACTACTATTTTGTTGCATTTGTAAATTAATATATAGCTCTTAGCTTTTAGGAGAGATTGCTTAAATGGATAAATTGGTCATTAAATCTGCCGATTTGAGCAGCATTTGAGCCATTTGGAAAATTAAGAGTGAGGCATGAGGATTTAAGTCTGTAGATTTATGATTTAGAACAGTGATGTAGGGGTTTGGATATCAAGAAGATTAGTAGGGAGCGAGATGTCAGAAGCTGTGTCTAAGAGCTGTGTGTTAAGAGAGTTAAAACAGCTCTCCTCAACTGGAGAGAGTGAGATTTAAGTCTTCAACATCCATCTGGAGAAGTAAAACAATCACCTTAATTTGAGTAGAGCTCACTTTTGCATATTTTTGTTTAGGGTTGTGTGCCTTTCTCTTTTGGGAAAGGTGTCCTTGCAGGGAGAAGTGATTTTTTTCCCCAGACTAAATGGCAGGGTTTATGTGAGTGTAACATTCGTATTTTCTCTCTCCTATACTCTACTTGCTGTTAACCATCCCATTTCACACTCTCAATTCCCCAGACCGCTGAGCCTCCCCACTGGGAAGATGGACGCTTTGTTTTCCAGTTGCAGCGCTCTCCACTCTGCGAGTACCTCATAAATTTTATCCGCAAACTGCAAACGCTGCCAGAAAAACCAATGATGGATAGTGTGCTTGAAAACTTCACCATCTTGCAGGTATGGGGTGAGGGGATGGTCTGTTATTCTAAAGCAGTGGTTCTCAACCTGTGGGTCCCCAGATGTTTTGGCTTTCAACTCCCAGAAATCCTAATAACTGATAAACTGGCTGGGATTTCTGGGAGTTGGAGGCCAAAACACCTGGGGACCCACAGGTTGAGAACCACTGTTCCAAAGTGACTTAGCTGGGGAAGGAATAAGAAGACAGAACACATTGTTTGTCTAACATTTAAGCTCTGTGTAAACAAAAACAAAAAAACCCCAAAGTCACCAAGTTTGCATACTTTGACAATGCCTAGCAATCACAACTCCACTTACAAGTCCCAAAGGCAGTTGGGTTTTCAGAATTGCCATTCTCACATCCCACACTGCCTTAGAGTAGCATTCCCCAGCCTGGTGTCATCCAGATAGTTAGTAGGCTTGTGCATTTTGGCTGAACCTCGATCCGTTTCTGCTGACCAGATATAAATATAAACTTTTTCCTAAAAACTTGATATATCTAGGCTTAACATACACATTAGGCTTGTTTGATTAAAAAAAGGTTCAAAACTCATTTTGGATGCTGGTGGTTCGGATCTAAAGTCATTTTCGATTTTCACAGAAAGAAATGTTCAAAACTTTGCAAAACTTCTGAGACTTCCGAATCCTTTGTTAATGGTTTCAAAGTGTTATTTCCTGTTTCAATGGGTGGTCTTTACTTTGCCTATGGAACACACTCCCAAATGAGGTCAGATCTGTTCCCTCCCTCCTGGCTTTTAGAAAGAAATTAAAATCATAGTTTTGGGACCAGGCTTTTGGACAGTAGATGTATGTAGCACTTTGGAGGGACATTGACTGGAATGGCAATACGGCTGATGAGACTGTTTTACTGTTTTAATGATTGCTGATGTATTGTTTTAATTAAGATTTATGTTCATTTGTGGTTTTATTATTGTAATTGTTGTGTAGTGGCATCGTATCGGTGCCCATTGTAAGCCGTCCTGAATCCCACTTCAAGGGTAGAGAAGTGACAGGATATAAATAAATAAATAAATAAATAAATAAATAAATAAATAATAAGTAGTTGTTTTACTCCAGAAGTGGAGCATGAGGGAAAGGAAAGGGAGAGAGTCCATCCACACTGGTTTAAACTGATGCGGCATCTCTCGCTGAAGCGGGAGGGAAAGGAAAGGAAGGGAATCCATCCACACTGGTTTAAACTGATGCAGCTTCTCTCGCTGAGGTGGGCGGGAAAGGAAAGGAAGGGAATCCATCCACACTGGTTTAAACTGACGTGGCTTCTCTCACTGAGGCGGGAGGGAAAGGAAAGGAAGGGAATCCATCCACACTGGTTTAAACTGATGTGGCTTCTCTCGCTGAGGTGGGAGGGAAAGGAAAGGAAGGGAATCCACACTGGTTTAAACTGATGTGGCATCTCTCCCTGAGGCAGGAGGGAAAGGAAAGGAAGGAAATCCATCCACACTGGTTTAAACTGATGCAGCTTCTCTCACTGAGGCAGGAGAGAAAGAAAAAGAAGGGAATCCATCCACACTGGTTTAGAAGGCTTCTCTGGCTTGAACCGAGGCCAGGGAACAGAAGCGGGGGGAAAGCTGAATCATTTCTGACTCACTTAGAGATTCGTAAGAGAAATGGCAGAAAAGAAGGGCAAAGGGACTTCAGGTTTCCTTAAAAACTTTGAAATCGCTTCAAGCAGGAAATCTTTCTGAATTTATTCCAAATTACAAAGATTCTGACCGAACCTAACCATGCCTAATACACATGTATACGTTAACTGTAAAGGTTTATACTTCACAAAATGCTTGGTTACTTGTCCTATGGAGAAATTCTAATCTCATTGTACCTCACAACAGGTTTTGCGAGATCAAGAAACTCAGGAGTTACTACTATGTGTGGCCTTTGTGTTTGAAGTGTCTGCCAGCGAGCGAGGAGCGCAGCATCACATCTATCGGCTGGGCCGGGATTGACGAACACTTTTTGCCTTCCTGCCCTTAAAATCAAGCCACTCACCTTCCTCTCCTGATATTCAGGCTACAGGCTCTTCAGAAATGGTTGGAGGAGCTTATATGAAAACTGGTGAAAAGGGTTGTCCTAACCCCCAACAACCGTTGGGATACTAACTGCTGGATTTGGCAGTGATGACCTTGGTCTTCCTAAGGATCACAGAAAGATGCTCTGGCCCAACTCTTACAACTGCTGTTATTCAGCGGACAGTCTGTACAACATGACAACATAGTAGTCACCATGGATTTTCATTCAGAACAGCCATACTTATGGACCTGCTCTTCTCTCAGGTGGTTGTTCTCTCTGTATGGAACAGGAGTTAACATCTGCAGCTGTCATTACTTCCTCTCAGGATCATGGGTTTGCGATTTAAACACCCCGCTTTAACCAGATGTAGCATTTCCTAGCACCCTTGTTTTATAATGTGGCCAAAGAAGGGTGTATCTAACAGTTAATTTACCTCCTACACCTGTTTTCCAAGATTGATAAACTTCAGAGAGCAGGTGAAGATTTAACAGGGTAGGTAGCACCACTGTAGTGTAATGGTTTGAATTTTGGCGTAGGACTTCCACGATCTGGATTTGAATCCCTGGTCATCTGTGGAAACTCATTACGATGATCATGAGCAAGTAACACACTCACCGTAAGAGAAAAGGCAATGGAAAAACTCCTCTGAATAAATCTTGCCAAGAACACCCTATGCAAAGGTTACCACAGGGTTGCTGTGAATTTTCGGGGCTGTATGGTCATGTTCTAGAAGCATTCTCTCCTGACATTTCATCCACATCTATGGTAGGCATCCTCAGAGATTGTGAGGTGTGTTGGAAACTAGGCAAGTGGGATTTATATATCTGGAATGTCCAGGGTGGGAGAAAGAACTCTTGTCTTTGGAGGCAAGTGTGAATATTGCAATTGGCCACCTTGATTAGCATTTAATAGCCTTTAAACCCTGTCTGGTTACTTCCTGAGGGATCCTTTGTTTGGAGGTGTTAGCTGCCCTGATTGACTCTTGGCTGGAATTTCTTCCTTTTTTAGTGTTGCTCTTTATTTGCTGTCCTGATTTCAGAGTTTTTAAAATACTGGTAGTCAGATTTTATTCATTTTCATTGTTTCCTCCTTTATGGAGGTGTTAGCTGGCCCTGATGGTTTCCTGTCTGAAATTCCCCTTCTGGAACATGTCCATACTGGCAGAGAAACTCACAGCAACCCAGTGATTCCAGCCATCATAGCTTTCGACAACACAAGGTTACCATAATTCAGTGTCTTCTTGAGGGCAGACAACAAGAGTTACCCTTGGAACTGATTGTGGGTGATGGATTTTGTAGTTCAACAACATGGAGTGGGCCAAAGATTCCTCACTTTTGCTTGATACTGCTAAGTACTGAGAACTAGGTGAGTAGTGAAACTCACCTTGGGCTTCATCTAGATCAGGCCTGTATAACTTGCAGCTCTCTAGATGTTTAGGCTCTGATTTCCAGAAGCCCTAACCAGTTTGTCCATTGGCCAGGAATTCTGGGAATTGGAGTCCAAAGCACCTGAAGAGCCACAGGTTGTGCAGGCCTCATCTAGATGTAAGATGATAAGGTTTTCCCTTAACATTAAGTCTTGTCGTGTCCGACTCTGGAGGGGTGTTACTCATCTCGATTTCTAAGTCGAAGAGCCAGCATTGTCCATAGACGTCTCCAAGGTCATGTGGCCGGCATGACTGCATGAAGTGCCATTACCTTCCTGCTGGAGCGGTACCTATTGATCTACTCACATTTGCATGTTTTCAAACTGTTAGGTAGGCAGAAGCTGGGGCTAACAGCAGAAGCTCATCCTGCTCCTCGGATTCGAACTGCCAGTCTTTTGGTCAACAAGTTCAGCTGCTCAGCAGTTTAACCTGCTGCGCCATTGGGGACGTATTTCCATATGCTTCTCCTGTTGTGAGTTCAGTCATGTGAGGATGTATTTTCATTGTGGCTAGTCATCTCAACTCCACATCCAAAATTGCAAGGGGAACTGAGAGAAAAGTTGTGTTCTGTCCGTCATCATCCACAGCTGGCTTTCCACTCAAAAGAAATATTTGATTGGAGGGCAGGGCATTACAAAAAGTTATCCTTTCTATGCCGAAAGTCAGAAAGCCAGTGTCTCCTGCTGCGGAGATGAAGACTCATTGCAAAAGCGAAAGACGTGTTATTCTGAACTGCAGCGTGAACAAGTCTCATCTGGACTTTATGTACTTTCTACTTTGTTGATATACGAACCTCTTCCTTGTGATATTCGGGAGGTTGTCAAGAGGCTCCCAGCACTGTGGGAAAGGTTGACGACAAGCTGATCTCGAATAAAATTTATTTTCACATAATATAGATATTTGGAGTTTGGCTTCACAATAATGCAAAGGAAGACATATCCACTCTTGTCAATTTCCCTTGGAATGATGCCAGTATCGGGCTTTAGGGCATGTATGGGCAAACTTGGGCTTTCCAGGTGTTTTGGACTTCAACTCCCACCATTCCTAACAGCCTCAGGCCCTTTCCTTTTCCCCCTCAGCTGCTTAAGCAAACTGCTTAAGCAAACTGCCTGCTTTAGGGGCACCTTCTACCAATAAAAAGGTAGGATATCCTACACAAACTGAGATGGGCTCTGAATTATGGCAAAACTCAATTTAGATCTATATAATTAAGGGTCTTGGCAAACAATTCAGTGTTTCTCAACCTTCCTAATGCCGTGACCCCTTAATACAGTTCCTCATATTGTGGTGACCCCCAACCATAACATTATTTTCATTGCTACTTCCTAACTGTAATTCTGCTATAGTTACAAATCACAATATAAATATCTGATATGCAGGATGTATTTTCATTCACTGGACCAAATTTGGCACATATACCGGATACACCCTAATTTGAATACTGGTGGGGTTGCAAGGGAGGGGCTGATTTTGTCATTTGGGAGTTGAAGTTTGCTGGGATTTATAGTTCAGCTACAATCAAAGAATATTCTGAACTCCACCAATGATGGAATTGAACCAAACTTGGCACACAGAACTCCCATGACCAAATAGAAAATACTGGAAGGGTTTGGTGGGCATTGACCTTGAGCTTTGGAGTTGTAGTTCACCTATATCCAGAGACCACTGTGGACTCAAGCAATGGTGGATCTGGACCAAACTTGGCAAAAATACTCAATATGCCCAAATGTAAACACTAGTGCAATTTGGGGAAAATAGACCTTGACATTTGGGAGTTGTAGTTGCTGGGATTTATAGTTCACTTACAGTCACAACAGGGCTTTTGGTGGGAGGATTTGCCGTCTGTTTCCAAAAGGAAGAGAAGGACAGGAAGAGAGATCTTCAGCCTCCTCTGCCAAAGGAGTTCCTAAGACCATTAGAAATATGTGTCTTCTGATGGTCTTTGCTGACCCCTCTGAAACTCACCTTGCGACCCCTCCAGGGGTCCTGACCCCTAGGTTGAGAAATGCTAAATTAACTGTTCATGCCTCTGCTAAAAGTTTATCTTGGGTGGGAGAACTTGAAAATGGGCAAACCAGGGCCAAAGCAACTCCTTTCCTTTTGCAAGGTCACAGAGCAATCAATGAAAAGTTGAGCAAGGAATGGCCAATCGAAAGATTATTTTTGCTGTACTTACCACTTGTGGAGGGGTTTCAACCCAGTAAGATGGATGAAAACTTCATATAAAAACAGTTTTGAACACAAATACAGACTAATGTTGGCCTTGGTAGCAGTTGCTTGGAACCACTTAAGGTGCAATGGACTACAACCAGTGATCTCAGAAGGCTTCCTTTATGACTCCAAACCAACCAATGAGAACAGACCTACCCACTGGGGTAAGGAAGTGTGGCTAAGGGCACTGATTGGCTGATCTCCTTGCATGTTATAATAAACCAGGTAATAAGTACATCTACACCAGGCATGGGCAAACTTCGGCCCTCCAGGTGTTTTGGACTCCAACTCCCACTATTCCTAACAGCATGCCAGCTGTTAGGAATAGTGGGAGTTAGAATCTAAAACACCTGGAGGGCCGAAGGTTGCCTATGCCTGAACTACACTTTGACTCCAGTTTAACTGCCATGGCTCAATGCTACAGCATCACCGGAGCTGTAGTTTTACAAGATCTTTAGACTTCTTTGCTGAAGAGTGCTGGTATCATACCAAACCACAGCTCTCAGAATCCCATAAGATTTGGGCCATGATGGCATCAACCTGTATTACAGTAGAGTCTCGCTTATCCAACCTTCGCTCATCCAACGTTCTGTATTATCCAACGCAGTCTGCCACTCGCCCAGATCTACAGCTGTTTCAATACATTGCAATGTTTTGGTGCTAAATTCGTAAATACAGTAATTAATACATAACATTATCGTGTATTGAACTGCTTTTTCTGTCAATTTGTTGTAAAAAATGATGTTTTGGTGCATCAAAGCTGAACCCTACAAGGCAGATGTCATTGGGTGCATCTGTACTGTAATTTGTAAAATCATAACGTAATTTGATATTTAAAAGGCTTTTTTGTAATCCCTCATTATCCAACATTTTCACATATCCAATGTTCTGCCAGCCCATTTATGTTGAATAAGCGAGACTCTACTGTAATTTTACAGTACAGATGCACCCAATGACATCTGCCATGTAGGATCCAGCTTTGATGCCTGATGGCCTTCTCATTTGTTTGAAAAGGTTACTTTTGGTGAACTACAAAGCTGAGAGTCCCCTAAATAATTTATTGCTGACCTTTAAAAGCTCTGTAGTTCCCACTTTGGTGTGTTAAGATAGAAGGAAAAAACTCAAGCTCTGGCTTCTTTCACTGGCTTTTTGGTTTTGATGTTTTGGGTGGATGCTGGCTTTGCTATTTGCACTGTCAACTTCTTCTTCTTCTTCTTCTTCTTCTTCTTCTTCTTCTTATTATTATTATTATTATTTGAAACACAAGATGAGTTCACAGCAAACAAGATCACTCTGCTGGGTGTTGTATTGGATCACACATCAGACACTTCCCAAATGTCTAGGACTGTGTGAGTAATCAGTGAATAATGCATGCAGATCCCAGTAAGGTGGCCTTCTTCAGCTGGCAGATGGTAATTTTGTCAGCACCGATTGTGTTTAAGTGCAGGCCAAGGTCTTTAGGCACTGCACCCAGTGTGCCGATCACCACTGGGACCATCCTGAGTGGCTTGTGCCAGAGCCTTTGCAGTTAGATCTTTAAATCCTTATATCATGTCAGCTTTTCCAGTTGTTTCTCTTCAATCCTGCTGTCACCTGGGATTGCAACATTGACAATCCAAAAGCCCACGCTACTTGGATCTGCACACATTATTTGTCAATACATCACAGTCCTAGACACTTGGGAAGTGACCGATGTGTGATCCAATACAAAAATGAACATAGTGATCTTGTTTGCTGTGTACTAATCTTGTTATGTATCTGATGATGAAACACTTTCTTTCTTGAAATGAGAGCCCGCATACTATCTCAGGATAAGCAGTGTTCTTGCAAAGTTTCTAATACCTGAAATCACCCAATATTTGTTAACTATTCTTTCTGGTAGCCTTTTTTTCCATGTGAGAAGCAGTTTGAGAAATTGTAAATCACTTCTGGTGTGAGAGAATTGGCTGTCTGCAAGGACACCTGGATGTTTTACCATCCCATAGGAAGCTGGAGCTGACAGACGGGAACTCACCACATCTCCTGGATTCAAACCACTGACCTTCAGGTCAGCAGTTCAGCCAGCACAAGGGTTTAACTCATTGCACCACCAGGGTTCCTCTAGCAGCCGTTGTATTAGGGTTTTGTTTCCCATACTTCCCAAGTACAATGAATCAAAAAAGGCTCGTTGATGGATTCTAGTTTTTTTTTATTACTTATTTACAAAATGGGAGACTTTAAAAACAAACACAAAGCCACCAATATCTTAAGAACAAAAGGCAACATGTTGAGAGGAGGTAAGTCAAATCGTACATGGACCTCATTCCACTTACTTCCTCTTCTTGGCATGTTTTCCTTCCCCGTTTGACTGTATCAAACAACCATATAGAATATATACATAAATACACACATACAGCAAAGGTTAAAAGTAGACTTCCCCATTCATCGTTCTGCAAGACGTGACATGTACAATATAATATAAATTCATGACAACTAATTACTCGGTCTTTGAACTGAGCATAATTATTTTGCACAGTTACCAATGGACATAACTCCATTGAAACAATGAGAAAGCAGCACCAGTGCATATATGTCCAATGCAAGCAAAGGCTTTGTCCTTTACTTTTGGTCAGTTTTAAGAATCCCACACAAACACCGGGAATCTGGTTGTTGACCCTTCCTGCAGCCAATCTAGATGAAGAAGGCTTTTGCAGAAATACCCAAAGGCACTGGAGTTTTTGTGTCCATGAAGAGCGATCGTTGTGGGAAAAGGTATTTTCAAGCTATGGGAGTGACATGGGGTCCAAAGTATACAACAAGTACTTGATTAACATTTTCAGGAATCTAAAGGGAAATCCAACCCTATTAAATAAGACTTTTGCAGCATGTGAGCCTATCACAGTGACTTTGAGGCAGCAACACAAGATAAACACTGATATGGGTCAAAACCAAAATTGGGGAAAGATACTTTTTGCACTCCCAAAATTTCACAACTAGCATGGCATATGACCGTATGAGCAGGGGGATTCTGGGAGTTATAGTCTGAAAAAGCTATTTTTCCAAATTCTGGAAACAAAATTGTCAGAGAACATATCAATGCCAGGTCTGGACACATTGCAGTGTTTCAACCAGGTGCACCCAAAAGGCATTGCTCAAAAAATACAGTCACTACTCTACTGGATTCATTGCTACAGCTAATCCAATGGGACATTGACACTATAAATCTTAATTGCAGATATAGTTTTATTTCAGGCAAGAATAAACTCTTCTAACCTGTACATCTGCCTTATCCCATTTTGGAATTCAATAAAGAGGTAAATTTAATAAAAACTGGAAAACACAGTACAAACTCCGACTCTGCAGAGCAATATCTAGCATCATTTATCCATATCTAACAAAATGTGTCCTCTCTAGGCATTTTCTAGGTCCTCCAGCACAACTATGGTTTTCTAGGGTCAGAAATCCTTCATTTGAATAGGATTGTCTATTATTTAGGTTTTACATATCCATGTGAAGTCTGGGAATGTATCCCCAATGGATGTGGGAGTTGTACTCTACAGTTACTTCACATTTTATCTTTTTAGATTCTAACATCTGTGCAGATAATTTCCTACAAAACAGTTTTGTTTATTGGGTTGCTGTGAGTTTTCTGGGCTGAATGGCTATGTTCCAGAAGCATTCTCTCCTGACATTTCACCCACATCTATGGCAGGCATCCTCTGAGGTTGTGAGGTCTGTTGGAAACTAGGCAAGTGGGGTTTATATATCTGTGGAATAATATCCAGGGTGGGAGAAAGAACTCTTTGGAACTCTGTTGGAAGCAAATGTGAATGTTGAAATCGGGCACTTTGATTAGCATTTGTTTATTTATTTACTATATTTGTACCCCGCCCTTCTCAACCCATAGGGGACTCAGAGCAGCTTCCCAAATTGTATTGAATGGCCTTGCAGCTTCAAAGCCTGGCTGCTTCCTGCCTGGGGGAATCCTTTGTTGGGAGGTGTTAGCTGGCCCTGGATGCTTATGATGAAGCAATACCCGAGTCGTATATTAAAAATTTGAGCATTCAAGTGAGAGAAAAACATAGGAATGGCATCTTACTTTGGAGACAGGTTACATCTTTTCTCAAGGCAAATGGCAGCATGCTTATAGTTTTTGGAAATGGTCTAAGAACCAAAACATCCATGTAGCTGCATGAAGCAGAATACTCTCTGGTGGAGTGCAACACTTTCCATTTCTTTGCTGGTGCCGGTTGCTCTCCTGAAGGTTAAGTTTCATTTACCAAGATATGGGTAAAAACAACATCAACAAAAAAGGTTAGGTAGGGAACCTCCCAAGGCACCATGCAAAAACACTGTTTTAAATCCCCTGCAGTGGAATGGCTTCATTTGAGGGAATGGTTTCCGACTTTGGGGACTGGCGAGTCGCCTCCTAGGAGTAACGGGCGAGCTTGTCATAGTTGGGGCCAATGGTCCTACACAGAAACATCGACAGGGTCATGAGGCAGAGCTGTAGGAAGAGAGAGATCTTGTTAAAGGTCATCATGTTACCATCCTGGTTTGAAAGAGGCTTGCTGGAGATCCAAAGACACCATCTCTATTTTTGGTACCAATTGTGATCCCTGGAATATGGAAATGCTGCTCATTGTGAGCCCTGGTTCTTAATCTTTCAATCAGGCTTCCCTAATCAGCAAACTTGCAGAAATTTTAGACAAAAACTGCCAGAACCCCTAATTATCAGCCCCATTGAGTTGAGTGAATGGGAGCTGTTATCCAAAACATCTGGAAGGTGGCTAGTTGAGGAAGTCTGTTCAAAACAGATAAAGAAGAAAGGAGGCACACAGAAGAGATTAGGACAACACAATATACCTCTTTGAAAGAAGGGGATCTATCTTTTTGGTAGTAATTCAAAGCACAACGATTCTATCATTGTGTTGTCGAAGGCTTTCATGGCCAGAATCATTGGGTTGCTGTGAATTTTCCAGGCTATATGGCCCTATTCCAGAAGCATTCTCTCCTGACATTTCATCCACATCTATGGCAGGCATCCAGAGGTTGTGGGGTCTGTTAGAAACTAGACAAGTGGGAAATGTATTGTCGAAGGCTTTCATGGCCGGAATCACTGGGTTGTTGTAGGTTTCTTTCGGGCTATATGGCCATGTTCTAGAAGCATTTTCTCCTGACGTTTCGCTTGCATCTATGGCAAGCATCCTCAGAGGTAGTGAGGTCAGATGCAGGCGAAACGTCAGGAGAAAATGCTTCTAGAACATGGCCATATAGCCTGAAAAAACCTACAACAACCTAGACAAGTGGGGTTTATATATCTGTGGAATGTCCAAGAACTCTTGTCTGATTTAGGCAAGTTGCAATTGGCTACCTTTATTAGCCTTGAATGGCCTTGCAGCTTCAAAACGTGACTACTTCCTGCCTATGGGAATCATTTTGTTGGGAGGTGTTAGCTGGCCCCGGTTGTTTCATGTCTGGAATTCCCCCCTCCTTTTTTTAGTGTTGCTTTTTATTTACTGTCCTGAATTTAGAGGGTTTTGCAAATACTGGTAGCCAGATTTTGTTCATTTTCATGAGTTCCTCCTTTTTGTTGAATTTTTCCACATGCTTGTGGATTTCAATAGCTTCAGGATAGTAAATAAATAGCTTAAATGTCCTTGCAGATTTTTTTAGTGTTGCTCTTTATTTACTGTCCTGATTTTAGAGGTTTTTTTAAAATACTGGTAGCCAGATTTTGTTCATTTTCACGGTTTTCTCCTTTCTGTTGAAATTGTCCACATGCTTGTGAATTTCTATGGCTTCAGGACAGTAAATAGCATTTAATGGCCTTGCAGCTTCAAAGTCTGGCTGGGGAATCCTTTGTTGGGAGGTGTTAGCTGGCCCTGATTGTTCCATGTAAGGATTTCCCCTGGTTTTTTTTTTAGAGTTCCTCTTTATTTACTATCCTGATTTTAGTTTTTTTTAATACTGGTAGCCATAGCAAAGCACCTGATGAACCAACCTGGACACAGCATATTATTTGAGAACACAGAAATGCTGGACCACTCTAACAACTATCATGTCAGGCTACAAAGAGAAGCAATTGAAATACACAAGCATGTGGACAACTTCAACAAAGAGGAGGAAACCATGAAAATGAACAATATCTGGCTACCGGTATTTAAAAAAAACTCCAAAATCAGGACAGTAAATAAAGAACAACACTGAAAACAGGGGAATTCCAGACAGGAAACAATCAGGGCCAGCTAACACCTCCCAAACAAAGGATTTCCCCATGCAGGAAGCAGCCAGGCTTTGAAGCTGCAAGGCTATTCAATGCGAACCAAGGTGGCCAATTGCAACATTCACACTTGCCTCAAGCAGACAACAGTTCTTTCTCCCACCCTGGACATTATTCCACAGATATATAAACCTCACTTGCCTAGTTTCCAACAGACCTCACAACCTCTGAGGATGCCTGCCATAGATGTGGGCGAAACGTCAGGAGAGAATGCTTCTGGAACATGGCCATACAGCCTGGAAAATTCAGAGCAAGCCAGATTCGACCATTTTCTCCCTCCTAGAAAGAATCACTCCACTCATCACTGTGAACCACCTGTTGCTTTTTGGTGTTTTAAAGTTCTTTATTGATCCTTGTTGTGTGCTCAGTCTCTAGCTATCTAGGGCTCCCTCTTGGCTGCCCAGAAGAATTAGACCCAGGGCTTAGATGCAAAGTGCACTTCCTCTCCTTGCCCCTTGGGGGCGCCAAAGCTCTCTTCACCAAACAGCAGACAAGACAGATAGAGGCCCTTTACCTGCAAGCAGCAAAGAGAATAACAGGGGAAAAGAGCAGGTGTTGATAAGAGAGAGAGAGAGATTTGCAGCAGCTAAATTCCTATTTTGCAGAAAGCACAGCCCTCCCACATCCCTCCAGTTACCTTGCCAGTACTCCAGGTAGAAATCCCTGTGCAGCAATGAGGGATTGAGAAATAGTAATTAAAAAGGTAAACATAGCAGGGAGAGTTAGTAGTATGGTCAGCCCTCCACATTTCTGGGTTTCATTTTTAGGGATCTGATTATTTGCAAGTTCAATTAATAAACTATAGGAGGCCCCCGTGGTGCAGTGGGTTAAACCCTTGTGCCAGCAGGACTGATGACCAACAGTGGCCGGCATCACTGCATGGAGTGCTGTTACCTTCCCGCCAGAGCGGTACCTATTGATCTACTGACATTTGCATGTTTTTGAATGGCTAGGTTGGCAGAAGCTGGGACTAACAGTGGGAGCTCACGTCGCTCCCAGGATTTGAACCTGCGACCTTTGGCGGTTTAACCCACTGCACCGCCGGGGGCTCCTTCCAATCCAGGCAGCTACAGAGAAATCTCTTCTGCTCAGAAAGATTAAGTCTGATAAAGCTCATGCTGGCTGGAAATATTTGAACTGATAGAACAACCCTTTTGGGGAGCACTAGTTTGGAAAAGTTTTTTCATTTGTGTTCATGAAAACCCAGAGAACTGCCCATCTACAAGAAGCACTGGAGGACATCCCAAGGCACACATAAGCCATGCATATGCAACCCACAAAAAATGACACATGGAATAATGCATCTCTCCAGTTAAACTAGGAGACAAAAATGCATATAAAAAAGAATGTCAGAAAGCAGAACACAGTCGGCCCTCCATATTTGTGAGTTTAACTTTTGTGGATGTGATTATTCACATATTTTATCAATATATTCTCTCTAGGACAGTGGATCTCAATCTGTGGATCCCCAAGTTTTTTCGCCTACAACTCCCAAAAATCCCAGCCAGTTTGCCAGCTGTTAGATTTCTGGGAGTTGAAGGCCAAAACATCTGAGGACCCACAGGTTGAGAACAACTGCCTAGGACTTCATCTACACTGACCATTTAGCGCAGATCAAAGCTAGGTTTGAGCTGCAGATGGTAGACAATGAATGGCACTGCAATTGAAGGGAGATGTTGACAAGCTGAAATGTGTCCAGAGGAGGGTGACTAAAATGATCAAGGGTCTGGAGAACAAGCCCTATGAGGAGCGGCTTAAAGAGCTGGGCATGTTTAGCCTGCAGAAGAGAAGGCTGAGAGGAGACATGATGAGGGCCATGTATCAAGATGTGAGGGAAAGTCATAGGGAGGAGGGAGCAGGCTTGTTTTCTGCTGTTCTGGAGACTAGGATGCGGAACAATGGCTTCAAACAACAGGAAAAGAGGTTCCATCTGAAGATTAGGAAGAAGTTCCTCATTCAGCAGTGGAACTCTCTGCCCCAGAGTGTGGTAGAGGCGCCTTCTTTGAAGGTTTTTAAACAGAGGCTGGATGGCCATCTGTCAGGGGTGCTTTGATTGTGACTTTCCTGCTTCTTGGCAGGGGGTTGGATTGGATGGCCCACGAGGTCTCTTCCAACTCTATGATTCTATGGATGTTCATGAAAGTGTGCAAAAGAAATTCCTTAATGCGCATAAGCACCCTGTGGTTTGTGTAACCACCATCGGGGTTTTCAACTGCTTCCAGAGTTTCCTATATAATCACCTGCACAGCAAAACTGCTTTGTTCAATACCAGCTTGAGACTGACTTAAGTGGTCAGTACAGATGTGTCCTTTTGGATCCTCCAATGGCAACCTTGGAAGACCTAGAATTCTGAGCGAACGCTTCCCGCAGTCTAAAACAAAATGTGTTTTTTCATTTCTGTTTTTTTCCCCACTTCCCACCTAACTCTCACAAAAGTGGAGGGCCTACTACACACCCATGCATAAATACAAATACACTCATATGTTCCACCTGCTGGAGAAGTAGAGGATCTCCTGGGAGCCACCACTATGCAAGTCCCTGTGCTCTATGGCACTGATCATTAACATGCACAGCAGCTGGAGGAACTACAACGAAAGTTTAGGCTGCAGATTCCATTTCTTTCACATGTTCATACATACACATAATTCAGCAGTCAAGCAACAGCACTGTGGGGCTAGGATTAGAGCTATACAACTGGCACTTCCCATTAATGGGCACCTTCTCAAAGCACGTTCCTTTGTGTTGCAGCATTGTCACATTGTCCTGCCTGATACTAAAAGCACTCTTGGTTATGTAGTAACTTCCGCAAGAAACAACACCTTCCTCACTGCTGTTTATAATTCTCCATCTTCTATTTCTGTGCTTCTCCTAGAGGAGTAGCGTTGGCCCAAGCGTTAGATAGGATGAGACAAGGCACCATAAGTTTGGTGTAGCACATGTGGCATTTCCCTTGTTATTGTGTAACCACAATATTCACTGTCTGACAGAGGAAAGAGATATGTGATTTTTCACTTTCAATTACAAAAATAGCAGGATTGGGCTTGAAATCCTCAGCTGTGGTCTGAAAAAGGAACTCCTCCAAGTTCCTCCCAGCTGGGGACCTGCAACAGCACCAACCTAGATGCTTTGCTAGTCAAGATCTCTTACCTCGAGGAGGGCAATGCCAAGGCAGATCCCCACAACGGTGATGATATTATTGGTCACCCAGACTTCAACGCTACGCATGCAGCCCTGCAAATGGGACAAAAACTGGTTTTATATTCTGGGCTTCAACAACAGACCATCTGGAACATGTAAGTCTAATACAATTAGTCCAGCCGCTAGCCTCTGCTAACCCTATCCCTTCATTTAGTCCTCTAGCCCAGGGCTTCTTAAACTTTTTTTAATTGTGACCCCTTTCCAGCAAAGAAATTTCTATATGAGCTCAGGTATATAAAATACCATATATACTCGAGTATAAGCCGAGTTTTTCAGCCCCCTTTTTAGGCTGAAAAAGCCCCCTTTGGCTTATACTCAAGTCAAAGTTATTTATTATTTTACTCTTGTTATTATTATTTTTATTACATTTATTATTTTACTCTATTTATTATTATTAGTACATTTACATAATTTTACTCTCTTATTATTATTACATTTATTATTTTTCTCTATTTATTATTGTTAATATTACATTTATTATTTTACTCTACTTATTATTGCTATTACAGTAGAGTCCCGCTTATCCAACCTTCACTCATCCAACGTTCTGTATTATCCAATGCAGTCTGCCTCCTGCCCAGATCCGCAATACATTGCGACGTTTTGATGCTAAATTCATCAATACAGTAATTACTACATAATGTTATCATGTATTGAACTGCTTTTTCTGTCATTATGTTTTGGTGCTTAATTTGTAAAATCATAATGTAATTTGACATTTAATAAGATTTTCCTTAACCCCTCCTTATTATTCAACATTTTCACTTATCCAATGTTCTGCTGACCCGTTTATGTTGGATAATCGAGACTCTAGTGTATTACCATTATTTTTTGAATCTATTAATTATTATTGCTATTATTACATCATTTTTACTCTATTATTATTATATTTATTTTTACTCTTTTATTATTATGATTGTGATTGTTACATTTACATAATTTTACTCTATTATTATTATTATTACATTATTCTTTTACTATATTATTATTGTTATTATTACATTTATTCTTTTACTCTATTTGTTATTATTATTATTATTACATTTATTCTTTTACTAAACATTTAACCTACTGATGCCTCAATTAATGTAATTTTATTGGTATCTGCATTTCCCACCCTCAGCTTATGCTTAAGTCAATACGTTTTCCCAGGTTTGTGGTAAAATTAGATGCCTCGTCTTACATTCAGGTCGGTTTATACTCAAGTATATTCAATAGGTATAAAAGCAAACATTTACTGATAATAAACCAGCTTTTCTAAGGCTTGTTAAAGAAGCCGATTTTCCTTTTTTGTTTTTGTTTGTTTGTTCTTTGTAGTACAGCTGAAGCATTTTCTGCAGAGTCCAATGTAAACATGGCATGTTGTTGCTAACAGGTTCATGTGATGTCTTAAACAGAAACTAGGTAAATTTCAGGAACATTTTACTTTTGCCAATTTTTCTGCAACCCTAATACTGAGCTAAGGGGACACCATTTGGGGTTGGGACCCATAATTTAAGCGGCGGTGCTCTAGTTGTCCCTCTAAACCAGGGGTCCTCAAACTTTTTAAACCAAGGGCCAGGTCACAGTCCCTCAAACAGATTCCTATGCACACTGCACATATCTTATTTGTAGTGCAAAAAAAACCACTTTAAAACAATGCAATAATTAAAATGAGGAATAATTTTAACAAATATAAAGTTATTAGTATTTCAATGGGAAGTGTGGGCCTGCTTTTGGCTGTGAGATAGGATTGCTGTTGTTGTTGTGTGCTTTCAAGTCATTTCAGACTTAGATTGACCCTGAGCGAGGGCCAGGTAAATAACCTTCGAGGGCCATATCTGGCCCCCGGGCCTTAGTTTGAGGACCCCTGCTCTAAACATTTTGAAGTCACCCTAATGAATACAGTTTACTATATCATATGGCAGTGATTTCCAAAGGCTGCTTTTTCCTGGCCTACACTGAATTGAGTGCCCTGGCAAGTAATTTAATTGGTCAGTTTGAGCTCTAAGAGTGTGTCGGTGTGTCCTTTTGCCATACTTTCCTCATCCTTTTTCCTCCTCCGTGCCTCTTTGCAGAGAAAACAAGAAAATCTCTCCCTATCTACTTCTTCCTACACACAAAGCAGTTCCCAAATGTTCTGTCAGGCTCCCCCTCAGCCATAAAACATCAACTCAAGGAGAGAACTGGACGTTCCATACGGTTGTGTGAATTATCTTCTCCCCACTCCGCTTCTCACCTCCTTGTAGACTGGCCACTCGCCCAAAGCTTTGCAGAAGCCTTCAGGCTCCACTTTTGCAGTCTGATTAATCTCCAGAGGACTAGATTGAGAAGCATTATAACAGGAACACGGGAAGTGGTCGGAGGAGTTGTGGACTCTCGGGTTCTCCTTCCAGTCGCTGTAAGAAGCCCATCCGCAACATTGGAGCTAGAAATTTGAAAAGAGGCACACAATGAGGAGGAGAAGGTGGAGGAGCAGAGAGAACACTGTCCCATCTGAGAGGTGTCAAAGCTGCTCCTTGTACAAGGCTTGTGTTGGAATTCAACCCCACACTGCCCAAGTCTCAAGTCCTCAATGAGGTACATAGTTACCATAAGAATAGTCTGAGGGTTTCCCTGTATGACAGTTGGAAATGCATCTATTCCTTCTCGCTCTCTTTCTGCTCTCATTCTGATTTGTTGTTGAAAATTGATACTTTTCTACTGCCTTATTAGACTTTAGCATGGAGAGTATGTGCTGTGTGCTTTGAGATCTCTCTCTACTTATGTGTCAGAGAGATGTAGTGCTTGGTGTTTTTCCCTCTCTTGTGCCTTTTGTCTTCTCATAAGAGAGAATGAGAGCTACTATAGAGAAAAGAACCAAGATACGTCTGTGAGACCGATGACGCAGATCTCGGTCAGGTTGGTATGTGGATGGGAGATCTCTAAATAGGTCCCACTACGGAAGGCAGGAAGGTTATAAATACAAATACAGTAGGTAAAGGTAAAGGTTTTCCCCTGACATTCAGTCCAGCCATGTCCGACTCTGGGGATTGGTGCTTATCTCCATTACTATGCCGAAGAGCCGGCGTTGTCAGTAGACACCTCCAAGGTCATGTGGCCAGCATGACTGCATCGTGCGCTGTTACCTTCCCACCAGAATGGTACCTACGGATCTACTCACATGTTTTCAAACTGCTAGGTTGGCAGAAGCTGGGGCTAACAGCGGGAGCTCACACCACTCCCTGGATTCGAATCCATGACCTTTTGGTCAGCAAGTTCGGCAGCTCAGCGCTTTAACCCACTGCGCCACCGGGGGCTTCTCACAAATACAGTAAAACTTCTATATCTGCAGTGGATATGTTCCCCGCCAGACAGTGATTGCATGAAACCATAGATTTGAGTGAACACAATTGAATCACCCCACTTCTGATCCCAGCATACCATGTAGTTGTGCTGGAGGACATAGAGATTCCTAAAGAGGTGTCCTCGCTAGGAATTTGCTAGATCCCTCAAGACAGATCCATGGTTACTTCCAGGAGGGTGTGCCATTGAATTGCTTGGAGGATCTAGCAAATTCCTACACAGAGACTATTTCCCCCCTGGGTACAGGTAGGTGAAACCGCAGTTTTATGAGTTTCGTAGTTATGGGTGCCTTCCGTGTAATGAGATCTTGCTTAACATAAGGGTGGATCCAGCCTCATTAAAATACTGCTGATAATGGCTGACTTTCAGAAGCCTTTTACCTGCTTTTGCACAAAATCCCAGCTCTCCTCATGATCAGAGTAGGAACTTTTTGCTCCATAGGTTTTGATTATGTCATTTACATATTCTCCAACTGTTTTCTTGAGCTGCATAGGGACAGAAGGGGAAAGTTACAGGAGAATCTACCACAGTCACAAAAGTAAGCATGATTAAAGGTAAAGGTAAAAGTTTCCAGTCGTGTCCGACTCGGGAGGGTGGTGCTCATCTCCATTTCTAAGCCGAAGAGCTGGAGTTGTCCGTAGACGCCTCCTAGGTCGTGGCCAACATGACTGCATGAAGTGCCGTTACCTTCCCGCCGGAGCGGTTCCTGTTGATCTACTCATATTTGCATGTTTTCGAACTGCTAGGTTGGCCAAAGCTGGGGCTAACGATGGGAGCTCATCCCGTGCTGCGATTCGAACTGCCAACCTTCCGGTCAGCAAGTTCTGTTGGAGCATGTAAAAACCAGTTGGTGAGTTTGTGAACTGAAAAATGCAAAGCACAAAGCTGATTGCTTGGGGCACACCCAGTAGCTAGCCGAGCCTGGGAGTTTTGGCAACAGTTACATGTTTAAGTACAAGAAAGTTTTGTACTTTTTGCTTCTTGGCTGCTGGAAGAAGATCCTTCGCATGGACACCTAAGAAACATTTGAATCTCTCTGAAAGGACATTGTGTAAGTCAATGCAACTGTTCTCATGACTGTACATATGTTGCTCTGCATAACAAAGAGTAAACACCTTATTCTTTACTGTTCATCTGAGTGGCATGTTTTTTTTCTCTCTAGCAAGACAGTGTGTGGATTGGTAAAGACATGAACTACGTTTGTTTTTTTCATTTTCCCACAAGTTCTGCAGCTTAGCAGTTTAACCCGCTGCGCCACCACAGACCCATAAGCATGACTACATTCCTGTAATCATCATGTCAAATCCCAGTTTCCCATGCTATCTTCCTGGGCTGGCATGGCTAGAAAGACAGGAAAAGAGTCTGAAAGTTACTTTTCTGGATTCCAACTCCAATAATCCCTCAGCCAAGATGGTAAACATCTGTGTAGCCAATGGCTATGACATGTTGCTGAGGAATGTTAGGAATTGCTGTTTTAAAACTGTAGAGCTCTTTTGATTCCTTGTTCGGACAAAAGAAGCACCTGCAATTAAACCTGCAAACATCCAAATGCCCACTCTCCACCAATTCCTTAAAACCAAAAATAGGAGTGAAAATGATTAATAACCATCTTGAGTAGCAAGTCTGCCCTGGATCCATACACACGGCATGAGCTTCCAAACTACCAGTAGTTTAATTTCAAACCATTTTGCCTCTTTCCATGAGGAACTGGCTCTGCAGAGCACTGATAGCACCAATCACAAAACCACATCTCTCCCACCCTCCCTTCAGGCTGCAAAGAGTGCTAGTTAATTGGCATTTGTTGCAGTCACACAACTACACCTCTCATCTTGGAGCTATTGAAGGCTAAAATAAAGGGACACAAACATGGTACCCTCCAGATGTTGCTGCATTGCAGCTCCATGATCCTTCCTAGACCTGCTGGTTAAGCTGGAGGGGAGTTTTAGTTGTACCAACTCGAGAGTCACAATTATCCCATTCTTGCTGGTAGGGGAAAAAACTGGTTTATGGGGGTGGGTTGCATTGCAATGCCTTCCAAAACCTTCTGAGAGTAATTCTTTTAAGCCTAGGACTTCTAAATCCAAGAGTAGATGACCAAGTCTTCTGTAATCATCATGTCCCCACATTCACCATAAATTGTGCTCCCAGTGGGTCGCACAATTGCCTTGGAACTACATGTAGTCCATGAGCTGAACTTTACTTATCCCTGTCTCAAATGGAATTCCCAGGCAGTGCTCAGAAAAGGAACATTTTTGGAGAATGACTCCACAAAATATCCACCATTAAGGTCACTGGTCATACTAATTGGAGTCTCTTGGGAAACTACAAGCCTAAATACCCGAAAGGAACCAGATCTCATCTGATCTTGGACACTAAGCACCATAATAATACTATAACAACAGCAACAACAACACTTTATTTATAATCCGCCCTATCTCCCTCAGGTCCCTTTAACAATGCCCTATATCCCAAGATTTGATCCCAGATTATCTGATTTAAACTGAAGTATATGAGTCTCCACTACTAGATAATGTGGGATAAGAAGATAATCTGGGATCCGATCTTGGAATATAGGTGCAGTGTGGAAGGGTCCCCAGTACTTGAATGAGAGGCTGTCTGTGAAAACCAAGTGCTGTAGGCTCTGTTTCAGAAGAAGGAATTAGCAAAATGCAATATGAAAATGCCTAAAAACACCCTATGATTTCGAAGGCACATTGATATATAGATATCGTCCAAAGAAAGTCATTTTTCCATGCTTCAGACCTAGGGGCTTTTTAAGATAATCAAAGCATCATCTGGGGAGGACAACAAGTTGTTGATTGTTTTTATGGTTAAAATAGTCCTCACAATAAATTATTTGGGTGCCCTGGGCAGAAATGTTTAATACAAACCTAAAACTTGTCTGAAGTGTGGAAAGGAGTAAGGAAGTCTGGGCCAGAGGAACAGGGAAGCGTAGGAGTCCCGTGTCCCTGCAGCCAAAATAAACCTCACACCCAGTTCTGGAGGGAGACACACCTATCATGAGTTTCATCCCCGATTCCTCTCCCAGGAGTGAGTCACATGCAAAAAAGAAAAGGAGAGCGCAGAATCACCTGGCCTGAACAATCCCTTCAATTCCACATGCCTGGGTCATACTTTCCCCACCCAGTTCCTTAGGCTAGCAGGGCAGAAATTTGGGCTTGATCAGTGTGGGCTGATCTCAAGAGTGGAAATTTATTTTTCTTCTATGTATTGTGATTTGTCTTTGTTGATTTGTTTGTTTTGATTCAACATTTTTTGGATTGTAAGTGTGACTGATACTATGTACATTGTTTCCTCCTGTTGCAAGCTGCCCTGAATCCCCTTGAGGAGAGGGGGTGGGATATAAATAAAGCATTATTATTATTATTTAGTATTAGTATTAGTATTATCGTCTACCCCAGAAATAGGGAAGATAAAGCTCGCAGGTTTGCTGTAGCAGCACAGGATTGGTTCTGAAGCTTTCCTTTAAAAACAACTTTAAAAAATAATTTTAAAAATAATTTATTTTCCCATTCTCAATAATTATAATATAATATAATATAATATAATATAATATAATATAATATAACACAACAAAATATAATATAATATTATTTATATCCTGTCCTGTTTCCCTGAGGGGACTCAGGGCGGTTAACAACAAATAACAGCAAACATGAAATGCTGTAAATAATAGTAATAATAATAATACTTTATTTATATCCCCCCACAATCTCCTCAAAGGGACTTGGGGCATCTCACAAAAGCACCCAGTAGTGCAAACATATAAAATACAACAAGGTAAGGGTAAAGGTTTCTCCTTGACATTAAGTCTAGTCATGTCTGACTTTCAGAGGTGGTGCTCATCTGCATTTCAAAACTGAAGAGCCAGCGTTGTTTGTAGACACCTCCAAGATCATATGGCCAGCATGACTGCATGGAGTGCCGTTATCTTCCCACAGAAGCGGTACCTATTGATCTACCCATGTTTCCATGTTTTCGAACTGCTAGGTTGGCAGAAGCTGTGCCTAACAGCGGGAGCTCACCCTGTTCCCCGGATTCGAACTGCCAACCTTTTGGTCAGCAAGTTCAGCAGCTCAGCAGTTTAACCTGCTGTGCCACCGGGGGCTTGGAGGTACAGAAGCAAAATAACACAACAATAAAGTCCACATAAACAAATTACATAAAACTTCATGTAAAACCCCTACCGACTTAAAATATTCAATAAAACACTAGACCAAGGGAGATCCTGTTCCAATTCCAAGCCTGGGGTCAATATGGTAACACTGCCGCTCATTTTAATTAAGGGGCATTTCAATCTCAAACATTCTGACATTTGGAGAACTAAGGAGGGGGTGTGATATTTTAAAGTCTCCAGGAGGCATAAGGTAGCCCTCCAAAGCACCCTGATATTTGCATCCTTCAGTAACAATTCTGCCCCTGCCAATAATATTCCTCTTCAGTCTCCCAATTTTCTAGATACATTGATAATCATTCATTCTTCAAGTTTTATATTTGCTGTGTTTACATTCCCTTGGCAACTCATCCTGCCCATTTTTTGGATGTCTGAACTGTACTTCAAAGTGCTCAACTGATGTTGTAAGTTACTGCGGACCCCCAAATGGTCCTGATTTGGGAGAGCCTCAGCTACTCCTCTGCCCTCCCATTGTTTCAGATGCTTTGAAAAAGGTCCCGGTTTTTCCCTTCTCCTGCTTTGTGAAGCAGCAGAATTGTATAGAATCATAGAGTTGGAAGAGACCTCATGGGCCATCCAGTCCAACCTGCTGCCAAGAAGCAGGAATATTGCATTCAAAGCATCCCCGACAGATGGCTATCCAGCCTCTGTTTAAAAGCCTCCAAATAAGGAGCCTCCGCCACACTCAGGAACAGAGAGTTCCACTGCTGAACAACTTTTTGTATCACACACATAAAGTGGAAGAGTACATATTCTGAACATTTTCCTCTCCGTCAGAGGCTTCCTATCTCACCGAAATCACCACGCAGGAAGTGAATGAGGTGAGAACATTTTCCTTCTAGCGTGAAAATCCTCTTGCAGAAAGAAACCTTCAAAAATGGCGCACAAACTCTGCAAACCGAGGCAATGTTCTTGCTTGGAGAAAAGGCTTTCTCTCAGTCCTATCGCTGTCACAGGAAGATCTCATGTTTGCTGAGAACATGAGATAAGGCTTTTTTTGGTGGCAGCTCTCATGCAAGACTATGTTAATCTGCTTTCTCCTCCCCACTACCCCTTTTATTTAAATAGGGTTTTAACCATTAACTGAATGTTGTGGATAGTTTTTTTCATATGCATACATGGTCTGACACCATTTATTTCCTCTTTTAAATGTATTTAAGCCGTTCTAAATATAGCTCTGTTTTGATCTGATAATTGTTGGAAATAGCAACCTTCCAAGCCTTCACTATTTGTTTGTTAATGTATATATTTGCTGACATGTCAGCGTGCTGGAAGAAGCAAAGGCGACCAGCACTGAAGTGATGCTCCTCCGCCATCAACTCCGCTGGACTGGCCACGTTGTCCGAATGCCCAATCACTGTCTCCCAAAGCAGTTACTATACTCCCAACTCAAGTACGGGAAACTTAATATTGGTGGACAGGAAAAGAGAATTAAAGATGGGCTTAAAACCATCCTTAAAATCTGTGCCATAGACATCGGGAACTGGGAAGCCCCGGCCCTTAAGCGCTCTAACTTGAGATCAGCTGTGACCAGCAGTGCTGCAGAATTCAAAGAGACATGAATAGAGGACAAAAGGGAGAAACATGCCAAGAGGAAGGTGCATCAAGCCAACCCTGACCGGGACCACCTTCTACCTGGAAACCCAGAGAGAACATGCAGGTCAAAAACAGGGCTCCACAGCCACCTACAGACCCACCGCCAAGACACCATATCTGGAAGACCACCTTGCTCGAGCTACAAGGGATCGACTAAGTAAGTAAGTAAGTAAGTAAGTAAGTAAGTAAGTAAAAGTAATATATTTGCTAACCTGTATTGTATATATATGTTGACTTGCCAGTTTGATTGACCTCTTTGATGTGGGAGGGGCTACAGACATGTGATTGTACTGAGCATGTTCAGACTCAAGACTCCATTTTGTTATCAGTATGTTTTTGGACTTCAATGGAAGTAGATGTCATTTTGGACTTATGCTGGAACAGTTTACTATATGTTTGCTTTGAGAAGCAGTGAGTACAATTATACAGTTTGGACTTTCATAAGATCATAGAATCATAGAATCAAAGAGTTGGAAGAGACCTCATGGGCCATCCAGTCCAACCCCCTGCCAAGAAGCAGGAATATTGCATTCAAAGCACCCCTGACAGATGGCCATCCAGCCTCTGTTTAAAAGCTTCCAAAGAAGGAGCCTCCACCACACTCCGGGGCAGAGAGTTCCACTGCTGAACGGCTCTCACAGTCAGATGTGTACTTAAAGACTTTGGACTATATACTATTAAGAATGATACCCTGTGGTCACAACACAAAGAAACTACATCCTATCTGTAACTGAATTTTAATAACAATGTGCCTGTATGGTGAATTAATACAAGATGTTTGTGAGTAAACAAGGTATGTTATTTTCAAAGAAGACTTTGGGCTTTTTAAAAAATCTCTTGAGTGCATATATTAAACTAAGAGTTTTCAAGGAAGACTATGTGTTTTTGGGCAACTGCACCTACAATTTCAACTTCAACTTCAAGGAAACATGTTAAAACTCTGCTAGCCAAATATATTTTTGTGCAGTGGCATGTCTTTGTCTCTGGCAGTTCAAAGACATGGTTTATCAGTTTAACAGCTGAGTTACCTGTGTGCCATTACATGAATGTTTGTGAACGTCACTTGTTCAAAGGGTGGACTTCTATCTAACAAGGTCATGCCTTTCCTTGACTAGTGGTTTTCAAAAAGTGGTCTCCTGATGTTCATGGAGATTCACATTTGCCAAATGGATATGACATCATTTTTCCTTTTCAGAAAGGTTATGATTGCATTTCTTTCCAAAAATAATAATAAATCATTTTAAAAATTAAACAATTACATTTATATTTCCCTTGCAATCTCTCTTGTCAACCATTTTGGGTCCCACACTGTGAGACAGGCAGGATATGAAAAATAAAGATAGAGCAATATATTAATTTCTGTTTTTAAAAATTCAGGAAACTGACAAGAATAAGCTACATATTATCTTTTGGAGCTTAGCAGTACAACTTTCCTCCTCAAAGATGGAAAACGATGAACTCAGGAAAGGAGAGAAAGTACATGAATGTTTTCATTTGTCAGAGTGGAAAAAATACTTAGCAGTAAACTTTCCACGAAACACAAACACCAAGGTTAAACACATACTTTCTCCCCGAACTTGTGATACAAACTCACCGAGTTTTGCTGTACGTATATCAGGATTCCGATGGTGATCTGAGCAATAAAAAGGAGGAGCAGGAAAGCGAAGTACTGTTGACAAACAAAAGAGAACAGCAAAATGAAGCAACTGGGATTCAACAATGCTTCAATAGTTTTCATTCCAGCTTTAATGTTTTACTATAGCCATTGATTGTATCTACATATGTAAATGCACATGTATACATGCACACGTTTTGTATAAATATGTATAATACACAAAGCCACACAATATATATGCCAAAAATGCCAGAGAGCGCTCTCAAGGTCAAATAAAACAGCAGCATTGAGACATCTAAAAGTCACAACATATGTCATTAAGTACATACACAAAAAGGAACTCAGAAGAAACAGAGAGGCACTCTTTTTTTAAGGAACAAGATATTTCTGAGGTTCATCTAAAATAGTCTTCAGCGGTGAGTAATATTTCAGGTTTGCCAGATGTTTTCAACCTAGATATTAGGCAAAAGCAATCTATGGAAAAGCAGCCTTTTTTCCTTTTGTGTCAGGAGTGACTTGAGAAACTGCAAGTCGCTTCTGATGTGAGAGAAATTGGCCATCTGCAAGAATGTTGCCCAGGGGACACCCGGATGTTTTACCATCCTATGGGAGGCGTCTCTCATGTCCCCTCTTGGGAAGCTGCAGCTGACAGATGGGAGCTCACCCCATTCTCCAGATTCAAACCACCAACCTTTTAGTCAGCAATCCAGCCTGCACAAGGGTTTAACCCATTGCGCCACCAGGGGCTCTTTATATGAAAGTTACTGCCTGATATAGGAAGTAACTTTCATACATAGTGTGAGAAAAGTAGATAGGAATATATAATTGTCCCCATTACGATGCTAGAAAATCAGGGTCATTTAAAGGAGATTCCATCTGAACATTAAGAGGAGCTTCCTGACAGTGAGAGCCGTTCAGCAGTGGAACTCTCTGCCCCGGAGTGTGGTGGAGGCTCCTTCTTTGGAAGCTTTTAAACAGAGGCTGGATGGCCATCTGTCAGGGGTGCTTTGAATGCAATATTCCTGCTTCTTGGCAGGGGGTTGGACTGGATGGCCCATGAGGTCTCTTCCAACTCTATGATTCTATGATTCTATTGTAACTGAATGTTGGGTGATCCAGTGCAGACAAAAGGAAGTAGTCCTTCAACACAGGACATTCGTATAGAATTTACTATGGAAAAACTATGGAATTTACTTCCAGAAGATATAGTGATTATTTCTAATTTGGATTGCTTTTTAAAAAGCTGGACAAATTCCATACAGGAAAATGCATTCTGTGGCTCAGAATGGGTGTATTTACAACTGGTTCCTAGTTTCTGGCTTTTGCACTTTTCACAAGCCACAGAATGCTGAATTACATAGGCCTTTGGTCTGATCCAGCAGAGCTTTTGTTACAGATTAATCCCGTTCTGCTTTGGGGACATTTTTCTAACGAAGCAACAAAACATTTTGCAACATTGAGGTGCATGCAGTTGGTATGGCACAGAGATGTAAATAAGGGAAGACTAGAAAAACGAACATCCTAAACCGAAATATACAAATCATGTAGTACAGAGTGCATGTATGTCAAATAGGAAATTCTATTTAAGTATCCCATCACGGCAGTTTTCAGGAAAAAGAGCATGTTGTGTGGGCATTGTGTCATTTGAGTCTTCTCTCCATCTCTTTCATTGCATAGTGTAATTGAAGGGTCAAAAATATAGTAAGATACGTGAACAGAATGGCATAAATATTTCCAATCAATTTATAAGCCATAGATTTATAATATTGGCAGTTTTCTAATAATTCTTAACAAGAGAAAACATAGCTCTCAAGATTCCTTGCTCTAAATTCAATTGGGTCTTAGAAAGCTCCAAAAACCTGTCCCCAAATTATACTTACAAATCCCAGCATGCACTTGATTTCCTTGAGGGAGCCTAGACATCCAAGGAAACCCATCAACATTGTGAGGATGCCAACACCACAGAAGATATAGGACCAGACTTTTAGGGCATAATATGATGACCCTGGGAAGGAGAAGCGGACAAATCAATCGTGACCATCTTATAACACATTGGTTCTCAACCTTCCTAATGCTGCGACCCGTTAATACAGTTCCTCGTGTTGTGGTGACCCCTAACCATCAAATTATTTTCATTGCTACTTCACAACCGTACTTTTGCTACTATTCATAATGTAAATATCTGATATGCAGGATGTATTTTCATTTACTGTACCAAATTTGGCACAAATACCTGATACGCCCAAGTTTGAATACTGCTGGGGTTGGGGTTAGGGTTGGGGTTAGGACCAGACTTTTAGGGCATAATATGATGACCCTGGGGAAGGAGAAGCAGACAAATCAATCTTGACCATCTTAGAACAGAAACAAAGATGGCAAATGTAGTGAGGATTATTTCAAAAATAGTCTCCTTTGACTAAAAGACAAACATTAAATCTAGTTGTATCTGACTCTGGGGGGTGGTGCTCATCTCCACTTCTAAGCCGAAGAACCAGCGTATTCCACAGATGTCTCCAAGGCGATGTGGCCAACATGACTGCATGGGGCACTGTTACCTTCCACCTTAAGCAGTACCTATTGATCTACACATATTTGCATGTTTTGATAGGTTGGTAAAAGATGGGGCTAATAGCGGGAGCTCCTCAAATTTGAACTGCCAATCTTTCGGTCAGCAAGTTCAGCATCTAAGTGGTTTAACCCACTGTGCCATAGGAGGCCCATTCCTTTGACTAGCAGAGAGAAATTTCCCAGAACTTGGAAAAGTTAGTTTCTTGATTATAATTCCCAGAAGTAGGATGCTCGTGTCTGGGAGTTCTGTTGCAAAATAACAACAACAACAACGTCTTTCAATCCTTTCCAAAATATCTGAAATCTTCTACAAGAAGTGCCACATTAAAAAGATAAGGTACAGGAGCAGACATGATCACAGATTGGGAAATGAAAAATCTGAAATGTTTTCAGAGTTATCGAAGGCTTTCATGGCTGGAATCACTGGGTTGCTGTAAGTTTTTTCGGGCTATATGGCCATGTTCTAGAGGCATTCTCTCCTGACTTTTCGCCTGCATCTATGGCAAGCATCCTCAGACGTAGTGAGGTCTCAGAGGTAGTGACCTCACTACCTCTGAGGATGCTTGCCATAGATGCAGGCGAAACGTCAGGAGAGAATGCCTCTAGAACATGGCCATATAGCCCGAGAAAACCTAAAACAACCCAGTTTTCAGAGTTCTTTTGTTTGTTGGTTGGTTTGCTTGTTTGCCCCAGGTTTTCCCAGTGGGCTAAGAGGGCAAGAATGTAGTATTATTAAGATCTTAGGAATATTAGGATTTTGATGCAAAGAGAAATATATTTGACAGGATTAAGAGAATCTTCTGGACTCACCAAGAACAGAAGCAAAATTGTTTCGGTCAAAAAGGATCCATAAGCCAAAGCTGAAAAGAAGACTTCCAAGCATCTGAAGAGGATGACAGAGATAAAGGAGATTGAAATAAACATACATTATAAGATACTTCTGCAAACTTTCATTCATCTTTTGACACCCTCCCATAAGTGAGGCACATGGGAATCATACCAAGGCATCTCTCTAGCCTAGCGTCAAGTCTGCGCCCAGCTATTACTCACAAAAAAGAAGAGGTTGAAGATGAAGAGGAAGTACTTTATGACACTGAGGCATCCTTTGTGGGACATGGTGGCTTCCTGTAAGAAGGGAAAGGAGAAGAGCATTCATTGTAAAGAAACATAAACTGCAAATTGTTTTCAGTCTATTTTAGCTGGGACCCATTCCCATCTTGATCTTATTGTACTTCCATGCAAATCTCCTATCCAACTACTGCATGATATGGAGAAGGTTTAAGGCCAAAATTATGGATCTGAATATGATAAGTCGAGGCCATTCCAAAGAAAGGGGAAAGCGCCAGTGCTGCCTAAGAAAGTCAGCCCCAGCCACCACTTTACCACCTAGGCATTCAAAAAGGCCATTCCTCACTCAGAGATGTAAGAGCTTAATCTATCTGGGAAGAACCTAAAAAAAGCATCGATTCCCCCCACGCCTACTATCGCAGCACTTTTCTTTTAGGTTCTCCCAGAAATAGACTAAGCCCTTGCTTTTTGTCACTCTAATCAGAGAAGGGGAACTCCAATATGCTGATGATAACATAGTCTGTGTGCATTCAGAAGAAGACAATCTACAAGCCACACTAAACACCTTTGCAGAAGCATATGAGAAGCTCACACTCTCATTGAACACAGAGAAAACTAAAGTGCTCTTCCAACAGTCACCAGCCAATCCCTCTGCAATGCCAGAAATACAGCTTGATGGTGTAACATTAGAAAATGTTGACCATTTCTGCTACCTTGACAGCCACCTCTCCACAAAAGTCAACATTGACACCAAAATACAACACCGCCTGAGCTCTGCGAGTGCAGCATTTTTCCGAATGAAACAGAGATGATCAGGACATCCATAAGGATACCAAGGTGCTTGTTGATAAAGCTACAGTCCTCCCAACCCTGTTATACGCCTGCCAAATGTGGACTGTCTACATGTCACACTCAACTCCTGGAACAATTCCATCAGTGTTGCCCCCGAAAAATCCTGCAAAGACCGGTGGACAAATGTCAGCGTGCTGGAAGAAGCAAAGACCACCAGCACTGAAGTGATGCTCCTACACCATCAACTCTGTTGGACTGGCTATGTTGTCTGAATGCCTGATTACCATCTCCCAAAGTAGTTACTATACTCTCAACTCAATAATGGAGAACGGAAGGTTGGTGGACAGGAAAAGAGATTTAAAGATGGGCTTAACGCTAACCTTAAAAATTGTGGCATAGACACAAAGAACTGGGAAGTCCTGGCCCTTGAGTGCTCTAATTGGAGGTCAGCTGTGACCAGTAGTGCTGCGGAAATTGAAGAGGCACAAATGGAGTGCGAAACGGAGAAACATGCCAAGAGGAAGGAGCGTCAAGCCAACCCTGACTGGGACCGCCTTAGGACTGGAAACCAATGTCCTCACTATGGAAGAACACGTGGATCAAGAATAGGGCTCCATAGTCATCTATGTATCCACTGCCAAGACACTACACTTGGAGGGCCATCCTACTCAGACAACAAGAGATCGCCTAAGTAAGTAACCCCTTTTCGTTAAGAGTTACACAACAGTACTTACATTGACCCTTGGAAAAGTAAAGCCAAATGTTTTGGGTTGAATTTTTCACTAAACTTTCTAGACTTACATGAGTAAAGGCAGCATTTTTAAAAAGGCCTCCTAAACAGATGGGCCATAACCTCTATTTTTATGCAGATGTCTCTGATGTGAGGTCACAATCCTGGCCCACATGGTTGCTGGAGAAACAAGGTCTCTCATCTTTGGACTCATGGTTCCACACCAATGCCAAACAGGGAAATGGCAAAGAGTTAATAGAAAATGAAATACTCTTTCTCATGTCTCCTGACTCAAGACTGAGTGAGTGTGCCTTCAAGTCTCACCTGTTGATTTATCTCAAACCCATTTTCCTCAAGGGTCACATCAGCCTAATGAAATGGTTCTCAACCTGTGAGTCCCCAGGTGTTTTGGCCTACAACCCCCAGAAATCCCAGTCAGTTTACTAGCTGTTAGGATTTCTGGGAGTTGAAGGCTAAAACATCTGGAGACCCACAGATTGATAACCACTGGCCTAGTGATTGCCTTCAAAGGGCTGTTGAATCCACGGAGGAGAATCCGTGGATAGAGAGGGCCAACTATAATTTTTGTTACATAGTTGCTGGTACTTTTTAGTTTTCCCCCAATGTGGGTCCCCAGGTGTTACTGAACAACAACTCCCATCACTTTTTATTATCTATCATCCGGACTGGGGATAATGGGGGTTGCAACCCAATAGCACTTGTGTCTCCGAGGTTGGGAAAAGGTTAAAGGACATTTTAATGTCAGGCATCATATCTCCAAGTATCACATCTAAATTGAAACCCCACTATTCTGACTAAACAGAGCAAACCGCAGCCTTCCAGACGTCACTGTACCCCAACTCCCATCAGCTCTAGTCATGATGTCTAACAATGAGGAATACAGGAGTTGTAGTCCAGGATTTGGAGAGCCGCGTAAAATGACATGGAGGGGCAGATTCGGCCCATGGGCCTTGAGTTTGACTTTTGGTCATCCATAAGGTATGATCTTTCAGACCTTGCTGTGGGAAGCATCATTTGCTGGCTGCTAGACATTATGTTGAGATAAAGGGCCCAAAGCTGCTCAGTTTCCTGATCAGTTGATGAGTCTATTCATTGTACACACACACACACAACCCCACACCCTCCACTAAACCGCACAGTGTCTATCTGGGGACCCACAGGTTGAGAACCACTGCTTTAGTCAGTCAATGTGTTTTGGACATCAGATTCCCGAACCCATAGGCCAAACTGGTCGGGGCCCCTGGAAACTGAAGGTTAAAACACTTGCTGAACCAAAGTTTGAGAACCACAGATCTAGTGGATGTCATCATATTCCACTCCTATATTTTTCCACCAAATCTTCTGTCTTGTTTTCTTTCAACACACACAAAAAGACAGTTAAGGAAATAAATATGACCCAGCTGCATATCCTATGTTTTCCCTCCCCATTTTTTGTCTTGTTTTCTTTCCACACACACAGCAGTGAAGGAAAAAGAAATATGACACTGCTACATACACAATGTACTTTAAAGGCATTGAAAAAGACCATGCACGTTTGGATGAAAAACTTATCTAGTTCAGGCATCTATTTAATACACAAGGCCAACTTGTTGCCTATGAGATGCTTAAGAGCACGCTACAAATCCCTGTCCTTCTATGGGGGTATTTACACTGTCGTATTACTTCAATTTGATACCACTTTAATTGCCATGGATCAATGCTATGGGCATGTAGTTTAGCCTCCTTTAGCAAAGAAGTGTGAAGATCTTATAAAACTACAAGACCAAGGATTCCATAGAATTGAGCCATGGCAGTGTAAAGCGGAGTCAAACTGCATCAATTTGGCAGTGTAGATCAGTGTCTCTCCATCTTCCTAATGCCGCGACCCCTTAATACAGTTTCTCGTGTTGTAAAAAGGTAAAGGTTGTCCCCTGACATTATGTCCAGTCATGTCTGACTCTGGGGTGTGGTGCTCATCTCCATTTCTAAGCCGAAGAGCCAGCGTTGTCCGTAGACACCTCCAAGGTCATGTGGCCGGCATGACTGCATGGAGCGCCGTTACCTTCCCGCCGGAGCGGTACCTATTGATCTACTCACAGTTGCATGTTTTCAAACTGCTAGGTTGGCAGAATCTAGGGCTGACAGCGGAAGCTCACGCCGCTCCCCGGAATCGAACCTGCAGCTCAGTGCTTTAACCCACCGGGGGCTCCACGTGTTGTAGTGACCCCCAAACATCGAATTATTTTCGTTGCTACTTAATAACTGTAATTTTGCTACTGTTGTGAATCATAATGTAAATATCTACTATGCAAGATGTATTTTCATTCACTGGACCAAATTTGGCACAAATACTCAAAACACCCAAATGAGTTTGGGGGAAATAGACTTTGACATTTGGGAGTTGTAGTTACTGGGATTCATAGTTCACCTACAATCAAAGAGCATTCAGAACCTCACCCACGATAGAATTAGGCCAAACTTTCCACACAGAACCCGCATGACCAACAGAAAATGCTGCGTTTTCTGATGGTCTTTGGAGACCATCTGACACCCCCTCTTGACCCCCCTATTGAAAAGCACTGGTGTAGATGCACACTTTCGCACATTCTCATTGACTTATATTCTTAATCCAACTGCTGATAACACTGGAGATTACCTATGGCCATACTGATCAGAAGCCATTACAATACATGTGCAAAACCACATATATATACATATACACAAATATATACACACACAAAACACATATACAGAGACTGGGCCACAGCAACGTGTGGCAGGGGATAGCTAGTACCTAATATGCAGGATGTATTTTCATTCACTGGAACAGACTTGGCATGAATACTCAATATGCCCACATGTGAACACTGGTGGAGATTGGGGAAAATAGATCTTGACATTAGGGAGTTGTAGTTGTTGGGATTTATAGTTCATTTACAATCAAAGAGCATTCTGAACCCCACCAACAATAGAATTTGGGCCAAACTTTCCACACAGAACCCCCATGACCAATAGAAAGTACTGAGTTTTCTGATGGTCTTTGGCGACCCCTCTGACACCCCTTGAGACCCCCCCCCCCAGGCGTCCCGACCCCCAGGATGAGAAGCATTGGTGTAGATGCACACTTTCTCACATTCTCATTGACTTATATACTTAATCCAACTGCTGATAATACTGGAGATGACCTATAGCCATGCTGATCAGAAGCCATTGATAGCCCATAACTCCATGAATGTATCCATCCCCATTCATAGCTATGCAAACTGGTTGACAATTGGAGTTTTCTCTCTGCACCCTGGAAGTTATAGTTCTCAAAAAGTAACTTCCCCAAGCGCTCCTCTCCTCCTACATCATCAGTTTCTGCCTCCGCAAAAGAAGTTTCAAAACTGGGCCCTGGTAACAAGACAAGCTGACATTATCTCTGAACAGAAGAGGAAGCGGTGAGTTTCAAAGCTGCCATGCATCACAGATTTTCAGAAAGGCGGGCTCATTTCCGGGGGGTTCGCCTGCAAAGTAATGTGTCTCACAGGCTGCCATTTTGCCCAATAGATCCTACACAACCAATCCACTTACAGCTCCCACATCCACTTACAGCCCCCGCAACACACGTGTTTGTGCAATTCTGTTGTTATTCTAACCCCCCACCCAATATTTCCTTGCAAGCAAATATATACTCTCAATTCTAGATCTATGCTGTGCACATGTCTCTCCTTTGCACATTTTCATTGACAGAATTGCCTTTGGCATTCCACGTTCAGCATTATCTAGGTTTGTCTGCATTGCTTCTTCATGTCTGCGGTCAGGTTTTTGTTTGAACTCACGCCCTAATTCAGGCAAGACGTTTGGAGCCATGCTCATCATCCCTGTGCATACAAAGCAGGGTGTGCAATCTGTACCACTTATGTAACCCCCTCCGTGACACATTTAAACGCATGAGAAACTCCTCGGGTTGCACAACGGCTTCTCAGATTGTGCGCATACAAGGGTGCTCTCCGTCATGCTGGTTGGCAAGTAATATTTGGCCTCTTGCACCGCAAATACACACTGGTTTTCATCCACACAGTTGTTCCTCCTCGACAATGTTACTTGCTCAAAACATCTGTATGATGCCTTCGGAGGAAGAGACTCCTTGGTCTTTGAATTGTGTATGCACATATTTAGACTTGGGGAGCATCTCTAGACCATGGAATGAATGCAGTTTGACACTACTTCAACTGCCATGGCTCAATGCTATGGAATACTGAGAGTTGTAGTTCTCCAAGGTCTTTGTCCTTCTCTGCTAAAGAATACCGATGTCTTACCAAACTATAACTACCATGTTCCTACAGCAGTTGAAGTGGGATCAAACTGCAATAATTCTACAGTGTAGGGGTATTCATGGGTCTGGGGAAATGAATTTTTTTGGGGAACATGAGGCCTCTACTACACTGCCATATAAAATCCAGATTATCTGCTTTGAACTGGGCTATATGGCAGTGTAGACTCATATAATCCACTCCAAAGCAGATAATGTGGATTATCTGCTTTGATCATCTGGATTATATGGCAGTATAGAAAGGGGCAAAGACATATAATCTTTCAGCGAGCATTGGCAGGAGCCATACTGTTCTGGAGGACTGTAGAAATGATCACCCCAAAGAATTACTTTTTCCAAATTCCCTTTTGCTTGCCTGGACATGTTTGGACAAATTAAGATGCTTTGAGACTTTAGGCCCCATCTACACTGCTATATAATCCCATTTCTGAACCCAGACTATCTGCTTAGAACTGGATTACACGGCAGTGTAGACTCATAATCCAGTTCAAAGCAGATAATCTAGATTAAGAAACTGGTTTATGTGGCAGTGTAGATCCAGCCTTATTCGGTGACTATGTTGTCCATCTCTCCCCATACCCAACCTTAAAAACAGCTCTTCTGACCATCTATAGCAGTTACGGGCAAACTTTGGCCCTCCGGGTGTTTTGGGCTACAACTCCCACAATTCCTAACAGCCTACTGACTGTTAGGAATTGTGGGAGTTGCAGTCCAAAACACCTGGAGGGCCCAAGATTGCCCATGTCTGATCTATAGGCAACACACACTCTCTCTCTCTCTTTCTCTCTCTCTGGTCTTCCCATTTCCAAAGCTCCCGGTGTCCCAATGTGAAATTCATCCTCCAACAAATTTCCCCCCAAAAATCTATAATCCAACTCATTTAGCTTCAAAACACACAAAGAACACCTCGTACTGTTTCTTCTATGAGGTAGACATCACTCCTTGGGAATCATGCTAATATAGAGGTGCCTACACTCAGGCTGGGTCTACACTGGCTCTATATCCCAGGTTCTGATCCCAGATTATCTGTTTAGCCCAGATTATCTGGCAGGAGAGACTCATATAATCCAATTTAAAGCAGATAATCTGAGATTAGATCATCGGATACAGGGCAATTTAGATCCAGCTTCAGTGACTCAATTTACTTCCAACCAAGTCTACCCTGCTCTTGTGTCTCCATCTACCCCGCAGGCTTGGATTCAATTGGGTTGACTAAATTCCCATGTAACCCACAATGTGATTACGGGGAAGGGAATGTGGACATATCTGAAACAGGAAGCCAGCCTATCCCCTTCTCCAAAATCTCCCCCATCTTCTCCCCCATCCTTTAACCTTCTACTCTCCTTATTCTTCTTCTTCAAAGCTTCTCAACACCAGATTGCCTACTTGGGCTGCGTAAATTCTCTTGTAACCCACAATGTGATCATGGGGAAGGGAATGTGGACATATCTGGAGCAGAAAGGCAGTCTATCCCCTTCTCCAAAATCTCCTCCATCTTCTCCCCCATCCTTTATCTTCTCCTTATCCCTCTTCTCCAGATCTTCCCAGTATAAGATCTCCTTCTTGGGTTGAGTAAATGCCATTGAAACCCACAATGTGACCATGGGGAAGGGAATTTGGACATATCTGGAGCAAGAACCCAGTCTAGCCCCTTCTCCAAAGTCTCCCCCATCTCCCCAATCCTTTAACCTTCTACTCTCCTTCTTCTTCAGAGCTTCTCAACATCAGATCAACTACTTGGGCTGAGTAAATTCTCTTGTAACCCACAATGTGATCACAGGGAAGGGAACGTGGACATATCTGGAGCAGAAAGGCAGTCTATCCCCTTCTCCAAAATCACCCCCATCTTTTAACTTTCTGCTCTCCTTATTCATCTTCTTCAGAGCTGTCAATCCCAGATCTCCTCCTTGGGCTGAGTAAATTCCCTTGAAGCTCACAATGTGATTATGGGGACAGGAATTTGAACATATCTGGAGCAGGAAGCCAGTCTAGCCCCTTCTCCAAAGTCTCTCCCATCTTCTCCCCCCTCCTTGAACCTTCTACTCTCCTTATTCCTCTTCTTCAGAGCTTCTCAACATCAGATCTCCTTCTTGGGTTTAGTAAATTCCATTGAAACCCACAATGTGATCATGGGGAAGGGAATTTGGACATATCTTGAGCAGGAACCCAGTCTCTCGCCTTCTCCAAAATCTCCTCCATCTTCTCTCCCCTCCTTGAACCTTCTACTCTCCTTATTCCTCTTTTTCAGAGCTTCTCAACATCAGATCTCCTTCTTGGGTTTAGTAAATTCCATTGAAACCCACAATGTGATCATGGGGAAGGGAATTTGGACATATCTGGAGCAGGAAGCCAGTCTAGCCCTTTCTCCAAAGTCTCCCCCATCTTCTCCCCCATCCTTTAACCATCTGCTCTCCTTATTCCTCTTCTTCAGAGCTTCTCAACATCAGATCTCCTCCTTGGGCTGAATAAATTCCCTTGTAACCCACAATGTGATCATGGAAAAGGGAATGTGGACATATTTGAAGCAGGAAGGCAGTCTAGCCCCTTCTCCAAAATCTCCTCAATCTTCTCTCCCATCCTTTATCCTTCTACTCTACTTATTCCTCTTCTCCAGATCTTCCCAGTATAAGATCTCCTTCTTAGGTTGAGTAAATTCCATTGAAATCCACAATGTGACCATGGGGAAGGGAATTTGGACATATTTGGAGCAGGAAGGCAATCTAGCGCCTTCTCCAAAGTCTTCCCCATCTTCTCCCCAATCCTTTAACCTTCTACTCTCCTTCCTCTTCTTCAGAGCTTCTCAACATCAGATCTCCTTGAGTTGAGTAAACTCCCATGAAACCCACAATGTGAGCATGGGGAAGGGAATGTGGACATATCTGGAGCAGAAGACAGTCTATCCCCTTCTCCAAAATCATCCCATCCTTTAACCTTCTACTCTTCTCCAGATCTTCCTAGCATAAGATCTCCTCCTTGGGTTGAGTACATTTCCTTGAAACTCACAATGTGACCATGGAAAGGGGAAACTGGGACGAATATGGGGTCAACAAAACTCCCCCAATCCATCCCACCCCTTCCTCAAAATCACCCCATCTTTTACCCCATTTAATCTCCTACTCTCTTTATTCCAAAGCTTCCTCAGCATCAGATCTCAAGAGCTTACCTTGCTGATCCTCTCCCAAGCAGGCTTTCTTGTCTTATCTGGCTTCTCTAGTAGGCTCAGCTCTTCCAGTACAACTCAGCCCAACTCTCCTCTTTTTCTCTCTCTCTCACTCCCTCTTTCTTTTTCTCTCAACAGTACAAAGTTTCCAAACTTCTTCACCCAAAGGGGCCCCCTCCTCCTGGCTGGCCGCCTCTCGCTCCTGATTGGTCGCTGGAAGGAGGAGAAGAAAAGGAGGCGGGGCGAATATATTAATAATTAATAGGTGCCAAAGCCCCGCCCACTGCTTGGGTTTCTTTCCAGCCAGACTCTTTCTCTCTCTCTCTCTCTCTCTCTCTGCTTTTCGTCTTTTCATTATTATTAAGGTGGAACGGTTTCTAAAGGAGGTTTGGGTTTCATGATTTTTTGTTTCCTGCCAGATTATCTGGGATAAGGAGATAATATGGGATCAGAGCCTGGGATATAGGGCAGTGTAGATCCAGCCATAATCCAGTTCAGTGTGGTTCAGTCTGAATTATAATAGTCTAAACCAGGCATGGGCAAACTTTGGCCCTCCAGGTGTTTTGGACTTCAACTCCCACAATTCCTAACAGCATACTGGACTCTTTTCTCAGGCCCTCCTCTCTCATACCATCCTATCCTTCCTTCCTTTCTTCTCTCTTTCCTTTTTCCTTCCCTTCCTTCCTTACCTCCCTTTTTCTCTTTCCATGCTTCCTTTCCTTCCACCCTTTCATCCTTCCTTCCCTCTTTCCTTCCTCTTTCACTTCCTCCCTCTTTCTCCTTCCTCTCGTCCCTTCCTCCCTTTTGTTCCCTTTTGTTCTTCCTTCCCTTTCCTTCCTCCTTCCCTTCGCCCTTAATCCATCTTTCATTTTCTCTCAGATCACTCTTTCTCCATCCCTTAAACCCTTTGTATTATTCAATTCTAATACCTATCTTTCCTCTCATTCACATCATTCCCTGTGCCTCCTCCTCCCTTCCTCTCTACCCTTTGCTTTATTTCCTTCACCTCACTTAATCATTCCCTCATGTCATACCTCACCTACTTAAGCCCCTGGGCTCTTTTCCCTCTTTCCCTCTCTCTCCATCCCTTTCTCTTCCTCCTTCCTTCTCTCTTTCCTTCTTCCTTCCTCCCTTCCTTCCCTTTCTCTTTCTCCCTTCCCTTCCACCCTTTCATCTCATTCTTCCTTTCCTCCTTCTTCCCTCCTTCCTCCCTCTTCTCCTTCCATCCTTTCCTTCCTTCTTCCTTCCTTCCCTTTTCTTTCCTCTTCCCCTTTCCTTCCTTACTTCCTTCCCTTCCTTCCTTACTTCCCTTTTTCCTTCCATCTTTCCTCCCTCCTTACCTCTTTCCTTCCTTCTCTCTTTTCTCCTTCCGTCCTTCCTTCCTTCCTTTCCTCTTTCTCCCTCCCTCCCTCCATTTCGTTCCATCCTTTTGTCTTTCCTTCCCTTCCTCCTTCCCTTCTTCCTTTTTTCCATCTTTCTTCCTTCCATCCCTCCACCCTTTCGTCCTTCCTTCCCTTTTGTCTTTCCTTCCTCCTTACCTCCCATCCTTCCTTTCCTGCCTCTCTCTTTCTCCTTCCATCCTTCCTTCCTTCCCTTCCATCCTTTCATCCTTCCTTTCCTCTTTCCTTCCTCCTTCCATCCCTCTTTCTCCTTCCATTCTTCCCTTCCACCCTTTTGTCCTTCCTTCCCTTCCTCCATTCCTTTCTTCCTGCCATCTATCCTTCTCTTTTTCCTTTCTCCTTCCCTTTCATCCACCCCATTTGTCTTTCTTTCCTTCTCTTTCCTCCCTCCTTACCTCTCCCCCTTACCTTCCTCTTTCTCCTGCCATTCTTCCCTTCTTTTCATCCTTCCTTCTCTCTTTCTTTCCTCCTTCCTTTCCTTCCTTCCTTCCATCATTGGGCAACCAGTCCTCCTAGCAGGGAGTGCAGCATGCAGCCCCCAAGCTAGAAAGTTTGCCCATGCCTGACTTAAAATATTTGCCTCTCTTTCTCTTCTGTCTCTGGATGTGTCAATACTGTCAGATTTAAATGTAGTTTGAGGATACTTTAACTGCCATAGGTCAATGCTGTGGAATCATAGAGGTTGTTGTTTGGTAAGGAGCAAGTAAAATGCTTTGCCACCATATGAAAACCATCAGCACATGAATAAAAATATATGTAATCATTTAAAATTCTTAATTAAAATATTTTAAAATTTTAATTTAAAAAATCACCTGGATAGTCCTGTTTGGGGAGACAGGTTTTTATTGCTGATTTAAATTCAGTGTATTCAGCTCTTTCGGCAGATCATGCCACAAACATCACCCAGAGCACCTGATTATACATGAGGAGGTATGCAGCACTTTGGTTGCACTAAACAGCTGCATCCCAGAGATGTTTAATGATTTATGTTGTTAAGCTCACCCTCCAAATCCACAATCTGCAAAGCACAAACCAACGTCTGTCCTATATTGCCTTATTTCGCGGAATTGGATCCAAGATTATCTGCTTTAAACTGGATTATATGAGTCTCCACTGCCAGATAATCCAGGATAAACCTAATAGCTCCAAGTTGCCAATTCAGAAACAAACCACAGTCACCCCAATGCCTTTCCATTGGAAATAGTAATAGTGCTTCACCATCTTTGCCAATGGAAACGTTTAGGGCTACTATACCAATCTCTATGGAAAGCATGCTACATTTACATTGTAGAATTAATGCAGTTTGACCCTACTTTAATTCAGTGCTGAGGAATCTAGGAATTTGTGGTTTGGTGAGGCATCAGCATTCTTTAGCAGAGAGGACCTTTACTGTGGCGCTTGAACTGCCATAGTTCGCTGCTGTGGAATTCCCCCAGGCAGGAAGCAGCCAGGCTTTGAAGCTGCAAGGCCATTCAATGCTAATCAAGGTGGCCAATTGCAAAATTCACACTTGCCTCAAACAGACAAGAGTGCTTTCTCCCGCCCTGAACATTCCACAGATATATAAACACTCCACTTGTCTAGTTTCCAGCAGACCTCACAACCTTTGAGGATGCCTGTCATAGATGGGAACAAAATGTCAGGAGTGAATGCTTCTGGAACATGGCCAATTGGCCATACAGTAAAACACAGCAGCCCATTGGGATGTGTAGTTTTACAGAGTCTTTAGCCTTCCCTGCCAATGCCAGGATTTTTGGCATTGAGCCATGGCAGATAATGTCGAACTGCATTAGTCCTACAGTGTGTAAATGTACTCCCCCCCCCCATTCCCCCCCGGAAATACTTACATTGAGTAATACTTGACACTTCTGCTCCATGGGGCTAACTTCTGACTCAGTCTGGGTTAAGGGTGGTGTGTCATCTGCTTCGTTGTTTCCACCAACAGACTAAAAAACAATACGATTGTTGTTAACCACAGTTCATTTTCCAAATAAGAGCCACTTTCGCTGAATCATTTGGTGCTTGGAACGTCTGAAATCATGAGAAACATTTGTAATTCCATGTAATGTGACAGATTTTTAAAAATATATTTGATAGCTCACACACTGACAGAAACATTCATAATCTGGCAGCCTTCAGATGTGTTGGATTACAATTCCTACCAAAATCCCAGTAAGCATGTTTGTTTGGTGATGGGAGTTACAGTCCAATTTGTTTGGTTAGGTTGGAAGAAGTCCTTTAGGTTGGATCTATACTGCCATATAATCCAGTTCCTGAATCCAAATTATCTGGTTTAACCTGGATTATGTGAGCCTACACATACACAGACCTCACAACCTCTGAGAATGCCTGCTATAGATGCAGACGAAATGCCAGGAGAAAATGGTTCTAGAAGAAGGCCATACAGCCTGAAAAACCTACAACAACCCACTGAGTCTACACTTCTATATAATCCAGTTCAAAGCAGATAATTTGGATTCAGGAACTGGATTATATGACAGTGTGGATGGGGCCGTTCTCATCTCTGTTCCTGTTCCTCTGTTGTTTATCCTACATCATTTAGTCTGTAATGTCCTTAGAGTAGAAACCTTGTCCTCTCATAGATCTGAAAGCATCATATCCGCAAATGATGTTAGCTGGTATAGCTATATAAATAAAAATGTAATGTTCATTTGTGGGATTAACATAACTCAAAAACCACTGGACAAATTGACACCAGATTTCGACACAAGACACATATCAGGCCAACGAGTGACCATCACTCATAAAAATACTGTAAAACACAGCAGAAGAGACTTGGTGTCAATTCATCCAGTGATTTTTGAGTTATGTTAATCCCACAAACGAACATTACATTTTTATTTATATAGATGGTAGCATCCTATCTGTTGAATGTCCATTGCTCTGCTATAAATGTGTCATTCATGACACATTATTTCCAATTTCTATCTATGGGTCTAAAAGTTGGGCATTGCAGAAAGCAAACAAGGGGGGAAATCAACACATTTGAAATATATTGTCAGAGAAGAATTCTGTGGATACAAAGGGCTGTGAGAAGGACAAATGGAACCCGAGATGTCTGTGGATTCGAAGCAAAGATGACTAAACTGGAGCTGTCATACTCATGGAACATGGAAAAAATCACAACATGTATTAAAGTGGAAGACTTTAGGGGGGAAAAGGATGAGTGGATTGATTCAATCCAGAAAACCACAGATATGTTTGCAGTATCTAAGCAAGGCAATTCATGACTCAAATTCTTAGAAGTCTCATTTTTATAGGGTTGCCATAAGTCAACATTGACTTGACAGCAAATAACACCAGCAACATGTTTGGCTATAGTTGTACGCCACTTTGAAATCTCCACATCGAAGAGATGTATAAATATGCATAAATTCAATAAGGGTTCTGTGGAATTGCAAAGCATTTTGTTGGCCCTAAGAAAAGTATTGTTTGATTCTGTGATTCCCATTTTGTTTGTTTGTTTGATCAAGTCTTAGACTATTAATGGCTCAGGAGTGAACAGCAAGGTTGGGTGGATGAAACAACAAAACTGTGATTTCCAATCCTTTCATCTTAATCAGAGAGGCACTTAAAAGGCTATGGATGTCATTGCTGAATAGCTGCCTTGGCAGACAGAATCAAAAGGCCCCTGCTATTGTTTGTAAACCCCCATTGAATTTATAGTCTGGGTTCCCCTTCCTTTATGAACAGAGAGTCCTTTTCTTTGCGCAGCTGGGGGGCAAGACTTCAAAGGCTCAAGATTCCTTCTACAAGAAGTGTTTGGTGCAT